GGAAGTGAGCTCAGGGAACCAATAGAATTTTAGGGGTAAGTAAGCTGTTTCAGAAGCAAAAAGTGAGATAGAGCCTCTGGGCCAGGGAACTGGATGGTGCCAGCACGAGAGTAGTGGCCCTGCTTGGGGTCCCTGCCTGTTTTTCCTTGGGGCTTCCCGCCTCAACCAGGGGTCCCTGCTTGCATTGCCCCCCCACTCTTGGCAGCCACTCATTAGCACACATGACCAGCACTGCACCAGGAACCCTTTGTTATAGGTCTGTCTTGGGTGGGTGGCTGCAAGCTGGGCCAGAAACCATTGCAGGTGCATAGCACTTCCCGGGGTGGGGCTTTGAAGGCAGACAGAGCTGAGGATCTGTGCCACATTGTGTTTGCTGCAAGGGGGCCAGAGGAGCCTGCAGAGCCTGGCCTGGAGACAGCTGGCCCCCTTCACTGGCTGCCACCCTGCTGGGTTCCAGCCAGGAGTGCACGATCTGTGTCTTAAATAGGAATAAGCGGAGGGTTGGGTGCTGGAATCCTCTGTGTCAGCCCAGGGGCCAGGGGCTGGGGCTGGGCTGTGACAGCACTTGACTAATTTGGGAAGTTAATAAGCTGGTCATCCTAACTCCGGGAATAGAGGACACTCCCGCCACCAGGCATTTGTCCCTGGAGGCTGCTGACGTTTGCTTCCCTAGCGTCACTCCTTGGTCCCCTAACCCTAAACAGCCCCTCTCAGGGAGCAGCCAGCCTCTGCATGTAAAAGCATCCGTCCCAGCGCCGTCCTGCTTGTCCTGCTGAGTGGTGTGGCTTGGCCGTGATGCCTTAGCTGTCTCACCTCGCCTCTGTTCTGGTTATTTTGGCTCAGGCAGATCCAACCAGTGTTTGGGCCTGTTGGGTCCCAGCTATGCTGGGTGCCAGGCAGCTGACCCCTGAGCGGTCAGCTCGGCTCTGCTCTGCACTGTCAGCCACATGACTGCCAGGCCCGCCGGCTCGCAGGCCCGGGCCACCAGCAGTGTCCTCGTCTGCCAGGCTTTCCTGTAAAGAGTTGCTGCACAGATTCTTCATTATTATTATTATTATTGAAGTATAGTCAGTTTATAATCTTATGTTAGTTTCTGGTGTACAGCATAGTGATTGAGAGATATATATATATCTTCCCTTTCATATTCCTTTTCATTATAGGCCATTATGAGGTGTTGAATATAGTTCCCTGGCTGCACAGATTCTTTATCAGCAAGTCCTTGCAGGTGATTTGTTATGAGCCAGAGATCTGGACCTCTCTTGAAATCTCTACTCTCTCTTCCTGGATGTTGAACATTTTCCACTAGGAACTTTTTTAGGAGACCTTGCAGAGGAACAAAATAAACACTGGTCGAAGTCTAAATACCTGCCAGTAGGGGTCATTTTATTAAACTATGATGAGTACATTTGATGGATATTAAGATTATTTTTTGTATTAATATAAGAAAGTGCTTCTGTAATAAGTGAAACGGAAGCAGGTTACAAACTGTTTATGTGCTGCGATCACAACTACGTTACAAAACAGAAACCGATGGGAAGGGAAAACACCAAAATACTAACATGGGTTCTCTCTAGCGCATGGGAATCCCGTGATTTCTCTTTGTCTATGCTATATTTACTCATTTTCTAGAGTGACGTGTTAACTTTTACAATTAGGAACAGTGTTTTTAAATTCTAGGTCTTAATTCAAGAGAAGCAAATGTATCTGTATTGGGGAAAGAGAAGCCCTTTAGACTTGTTGGCTCCCGGGGTCCAGTCTGCATTACAGACTGTTCTGTGCCCCGGTCCCCTTGCTACTGACATGCCATCCGTGAGCTTGTGGAGAGCAGGGAGAGTTCTTACCTGCTTGTGTGCCCTGTCTCCTGGGTGCCTTACTCATCATCGGCTGAATAAACATTTGAGGAGTTGAGTTGGAGGCACCTGTGTTCTGTATTTTTCTTTAAAAAAGCAACAAGTTTTTCTGTGTGCAGCCAGGGGGCGCCCTGGGGGCGGGGGAAGCTTTCAGAGGAATGCCTCTGGGCCAGGGTCACTGTGGGCCTCCGGCAGCTGAGCTGAAGCCTTATGGCCTGTTCCCCAGGCCAGGTGACTCCTGCTGGCCAGTACTTGGCCAGCAATGTCGTAGTGCAGGTACTGACTGCTGGTTGGGATGGACTGAGATGGAGGAGGAGCTGCAGAGGCTAGCAGGAACCCTCCCTTCCGGCCCACACTGGACAGACAGGAGGAGTGAGGACAGCTGCCCTGCGGAACCCCTAAAACTGTCTTCCTTTTTTCCACCTTTATTAAGTTTGTTGTTGTTGTTGTTGTTGTTGTTGTTGTTTTTAGTAGAAAAATACCCACACTGTTAATTGAGGATTAGTGTAGTCAGATTCAGGTCCAGGGCCACTTAGAGGGTAGATATGGGAAGCCTGGGGCCCCTGTGGATTGTGATTGATGTTTTTAGTTATTTTGCGTTTTGTATCCTCTTTACAGGCCACTCTCGCGCCCCACTAAAATCACTTTTCCCAGCAGGCTGAGTGTCATGACTTCATCTAAGTGCATTGGTCACCTCCTGCATCCTTCACCAAAATGTCTCCTCAATTAATTAATTCAGTGGACGTCATGTCAGCAGGGGCCCTGCGAGTAATCATGTCCTCACACCTCCCTGCCCCTCCCTTCTGTGCCAGTTGAGTCAGTGAGTGGGGAGGACCATCCGTCTCCGCTGGCAGCCTCGTGCTCCGAGGGAGCAGCTCAGCACGTGGGGCTCGGGGTGGGTCTGCGCACAGCTGGGGCTCCCGCTCTGCTGCCCCGGCAGATGGAGCCGGCGAAAGAGCTGACTCCTCCCCCTCTGGCCGTAGGTGTTTGAGGAGCTGTGGAGGAGCGAAGGGAAGACTCCAGCCCAGATCGTGGCAGAAAAGCAGCTGGAGCTGATGCGGGATGACGAGGCGCTGGAGCAGCTCTGCCGCGCCACGATGGAGGCCCACCCTCAAGTGGTACCCAGCACCGCGGGCGGGGTGGGGGGCGGGGCTTCGCGGCCGGAGCGGCTCCGCCCTCCCGAGCCCAGAGGCTCCTCCTAATAATGGTCCATAATCCCCAATTATTTTTGTCAGTTTTTAGCTAAGGTGAAGAGATGAAATTAGGTGAATACTGGAAAAGAACAGCTTTTCCTGGAAGGAAAATCCACCCCAGAGTTCAGTCTCACGGAGTCTAGGTTAAAGGGGGTGTTAGCAAGTTTGCACCTCCCAGGCCTGCGTCCTATCCCAGGGTTGGGGCGCTCTGCTTTATAGGAGGACCTCTCTATCCTAAAGCAGCAGGCAGGGCTGCAGAGAGGGGAAAGAGGGAAACACTTCAGTTTCATGCCCTTGAGAGGTGGGAAGAAAGGCAGAAGGGAAAATTATTTGTAAATTATGGAGAAAATCCTTGACAGGAACATAGCTGAAAATCAAGTCATTTTGTGTTCTGAGCATAGAACAAAGCAGAAAAGGTAAAAATGAGGAGCACCCCTCCCTCCTTGAGTCTAATCACACTGTCCAGAGATGTTTTTCAGTGGGGAAAAATGGCTAGCCTCCCTTTCAGAATGATACCACCCACCCATCAGCTTGCGGGAGACACTAACAGCTCTGTAAAGAGCTCTCGATAAGGAAAATGAGCTTGCGCTGGGGCCCGGCAATCTCCATCTTCCTGCCTCATCTGGAGTGACTGATAAAGACACTCTTTTAGTTTCAGACTTGTTCTGCAGTGCCGAGTGCAGATACTCGGAGACGCTTTTGCCCATCTGGACACAGCAGAGCAGGAGGTCGGGCGGGAGGCCCTGACGCGGTGGCTGTTTGACAGGCACTCCATGCCCCTGCCCCGCATCCCGTCCTGCCCACCGGGCACCCCTACTCCCACTCCCACACCCAGATGCTCCCGAGAGCTGGCCTTTTGTGGGTCTGTCTGCTAGTAAATGAGCTTCTCAGCCAGGAGTTGGGGGGGAGCCTGCTGAACCCCACTGGAGGATTAGTGAGGGGGCTCATTATCGCCCAGGAGGGGCATCCTGCATGCCAGCTTCTCAGTGTGATATGTCACCATCCTCAGTCCCTTTTAATAAGAAGGCAAGGTAGCAAATATCTCCTGTGCCAGGAGCCCAGAAACCTCCCCCGAAGTTCACGCCTTCCCCTTGTCTTTTCTCATTCTGTATCTAAGTCTCAGAGAAAAAAGTAACTGAATGTAAGTTTCAGTGAACGTGAACCTGATTTAGGATTTTCAGACAAGAGTTTCTTTTCTCCTCTAAGACGGTTTCTGTCTTCAAAGGTGATGGATCTAAAGAAAGGAAACCCCAGAGCGATAAACAAACTAATTGGGTTGGTCCGAAAAGCGACTCTGGGCCGAGCAGACCCCACTGCGATCAAGGATGTCCTGGAGAGGCAGCTGTCGGGGTGATGGCCAGACCCCTGGCCTGAGGGAGGACAGTGCCACCCCAAGAGTTGACGCCACACCTGCGCCGAAGTGCTGCCTCCACAGAAGACCAGGCCTCTGGCTGTTGCTCCACTGACATCAGGATGGCTCCGTGAGGTGCAACCACGGCTAAGACAGAGCACGTTCTAGTGCTTAGTGACACTGCGCTCGTTGAGACACGCTGTTCCAGATACGGTCACCAGCCTCAGGGAACATTTCATTCTGCAGCCTCCTCAACAAATATATTTAAGCACATCCTAAGGGCCAGACATTGTGGTGGGGGTGAGGGGTGGTGAAGAGACTGTGATCTGGATGCAGTAATTTAAACCTAAAAATAGGTTAATGAAGAAGAAATCACACATTTGTTTGTGGAGCTCTCCTTGAGGGCGCGGAGGGAGGGCATTAGTCTTGGTACCGGGAGTGGGTGGTGCTCACCCACACAGAGTAAAAGTGATGGTGCCCGTTCAGCTCCCCAGGGATTCCCGAAGGCAGAGGTCTGAGAATAAATGATTTTTTTTTTTTTGGGTAAAAAAGACAACAGGAGTTTTCAAGTAAATTTAATGAATAAAATATATACTGAAGTATCACATAAAAAATTAACTTACATGTCAAAGATTGTGCAGTTGACAACCCCCCTCCCAACCCTCAGACCAGAAAAAGGAAAAAAAAAAGCTGTTAACATTAAACTTATTTGTTTTGCCTGAAAAGATGATGATAAAACTAGTATGTCAAAATCTTGACCTTTAACAGTAACCGTGGTGCAGTTAACAGTTTAAGTCCACAAAGGCTGGGTTGCCCTCACCCCTGTTCTCATGACAATAATACTATTTCTGTCTGTCGCACCAGGGTGCCCCTTTGTTCACTGCCTGCTTTTGTTACCTCAGACTCAACAACGCCTGAAGCCCAGTTTTGCGGATGGTTTGTTTCTTTTTAAAGCACATGTCAAATTGTGACCTAAGAGAACAAAATCTTTGGAGGCCCTGATTTGCAGTGAATACTCTCTTGTGCTAAGAGTACAAACATTTCCATCACGGATGGCGCTCCAGTGGCAGCTGGGGACATAGCGAGGTAGGCCTTCTTGGCTCCTGGGCTGCAGACGACGCTCGGACTTCCCTGACTAGGATTGATGAGAGCCGTGTCCCTCCTACCCAGCCGGAAGAGCACGGCCAGGAAGGAACCTTGTTGTGTGGTTTCTTTTTGACAAGCATGAAGAGGTAAGGTTTTTTGGTTTTTTTTTTTTTTATTTGACTTTTAAAAAGATTCGTGCCTTAGAAGTGTTAAGAGAATACGTTACATCGCCCAGGAAGCCATGTGCCCCTCACACATTCTGTTGCAATGCTCAAAACTACTGGGCCTAAAAGTAAAATATTTTCCTCAAACCCCTTTTTGAGAGAGAAGGCAGAGTGAGTTCCATCTCCTTGTGCCGTGACTCTCAGTTACAAACGGGTGAAGGCGGTCTGAGACTGGGATCTGGCGGGAGAATGGTTTTGTAAGAAGTGATGAGGTTCAGTTTTGTTTCACAAACTCTGTTTTCACCAAAGTCTGCCTTCTTGGTCATCAGACCTTACAGAAGGCCCTGGACAATCTTTCCAGACTTTAAATCAAGGCCTACGTAAATGGGGGCTGGGGGGGGGGCAGCTAGATGACCATTTGCCACAATATTCTGTCCAGTGTAAACTGTGTTAGGGACGGATCACTCCCCAAGAAAAGTGCCACCGCTGGGGACAAAACGGGTAAAGGGGTCAGCCGTATGGCAGCAGATGGAAACTCAGCCTTTGGTGGTGAGCACACTGTAGTGTATCCCGAAGTCAAAATACAGTGTTGCATATGTGAAATTTATGTTATAAACCAATGTCACCTCAGTTAATAAAGAAAAGCTTTAAGTCCTTGATCTTCATAATGCCGTCATCCAGCTCTTGTTGACAACTACCTGCCGTCCTGAATGCCCGCTTCTGAAATCCTAGAAATCAGATTGTGTTGTAACTGCTAATAGAAAGAAAGGTGGGGGCAGCCGGAGGGGATCAAAGCACAGCTCAGATATCTGACTTGGAACCTGACCGGATAGTCAAACTGTATGTTCATACAACACCCTAAGAAAGTCACAGAGGGTCACTCTGCTTGTAAACAGGCCTCAGTGAAATACAAATTACAATACATTGTTGCACGAGTGTGAATTTAGTCTGGTTCTCTGCTTTTCTGGGGAAATCTCCTTAAAATGGATGAGTTGGCACCACAGGTGAAGCCGCTGTCATCTGTCACTGGAATCCACGCACCTGCAGGCTGGGAGGGGACGTGCTGGAAACTGGTGCTCCCCAGGGGAGCCCGGACCAGCTCCGCGTGGTCAGGCTCAGACCGTGTGTGGTGTTGCTTGAGCAGGAGGTCGGCTGAGGGGTTGGATGGTTCTGCTGGGAGGGATGGAGTGGCAGCCTTAACACCCAGCATGCTTCCAGCATAGAGTAAGTTTTTGTAAAAGTTTACAAAACAAAATCAATGGACGAGGAGCCCCTTATACGAGTGTGAGAAGTGGGTGCCGCCAACCACGAGGCTTTTAAGTTCCAGATGTCTGGGTCTAGGACGGAGCTTCTTGATTCGGTCCAGGCTCGTACATCAAGGTGAACGTCTGTTCCCATCTTTTAGGGAAAAAACTCACCATCATTTACATCAAGGGTGTTTTTGCTGGGCTCCTCCCACGCCCCCTGTTTTTGTAATTATCACTAATCTGGAAGAAGGCTATCAATTTTTTTTTAAAGTAAACACCCTCCTAGAGTTGGTTGGTTAATTCAGTACATAGCGTATGGCCATGACCCACAAACTGTGCTGTCCTTTTCATGTCTACTCAACGTAGCTGCATCTGTTCAAGGATTCCACATAGTATTTGGAAGAAGCCACTAAGTCTATCTGAAAGGCCCTGTTATCCACCCACTAACAAAAGCAGCATGGAAATGGTGGCCGTGCCTCTTCAGTGGATTTTAGACAAATGCACTGGTGGGTTATCTGTGAACAGAGTGGACACTTGATGGTGAGATGGCAAACGTCTGGTTGGTGGTCCACCCTCGCTGTCTCCCATAGTCAGACAGCTTAGCAAAGATCGTCTAAGTAGCATTGTCAACACCAAATTCTCTCTTGTTAAACAGCTGCGGGGCAGAATGGAGCCTTATAGCTGGGCCTTTTCTAGACTTGTCCCCAGTGCTTGTGTGGGTGACAGTGGGTCAGATTTACTCACGAGCTGTGAGACAGGAGCAAAATCTACAATGACAGCTGGGCAGGGAGGGGCCTCCCGCTCAAATCAGGCCCTGCCCTGGGTGCCTCATGCAGAAGCCGAAGAGCTTCGTTCCTGTCCTTCTGGTCCCTACAGAACATCACCAGAAACCTTTCCCTCAAGCCCTGTTTGTCCAGTTAATGAGCTGCCAGGATAATCTGTCCTCCAAAGCAAGTACTGGCCAAATGAACACCTGAACACGGCAAAATTATCCCGAAAACCGCTTAGTCTTCCAAGAGCTCTTTCCAAAGCCTTAGGTTTATGATGGTCATTCAAAGAAAGGGAAAAAAGTCAACTCCATTCTCTTAAAATGTTTCCTCCATGACATGATTTAAGAATGGAGTATAAACTAGTCTGCCTGTGGCCTGTTTTAAGCTGCGCTTTGATGGAGAATCAGTGCTGTGTGGTTTACATGGTTGAAGTGAGAACATCTTCCTAATGACTGACAGCAGATGTGGCCTCAGCCGCAGAGGCTGCCGTGTCTAGGAGGAGCTTACGCTGCAGAGCTGCCCGAGACGCATGGGAGCCACGGACTGCACCGGCCCGGCCGGCGACTCCCAGCGGCACGCACGGTACTAAGTGTCCTGCGGTGAAGCTGCATGAGAACGGCAGGGCTGACAGCCATCTCGGTAAACACAGGCTGGTGATGAGCAATTATGCTGAACCGCCCACCCCTCCATGGGAGCTGTGGGCGCTGTGGACATTCAGCATCACACCAGCAACACGTCCCCACCCCCCACCCCAGGGCAGCACTTCCCACAGGAAGGCAGTCTAGACACCCTGATACATTCAGAGCAGGCAGCCCATCCGCAACCCTAAACCTCTAAACCCATCTGAAAATCCACCAGCATTGACTGCTGCAACCAAGCTGATTCCGAGACAGCAAAAACGACTTTCAACCCCTCATACCACGAGCTGCCCCAATTGAACAGGCAGCCCAAACATGCACACGTCCAGCTCTAGACTCTGCTCCAAAGAGGGTGCTCTCTGACAACACCCTGGCCCCAGGATGTCTTAATGGACTGAAAAATCAGTAACTACATCAGATCTAAACAGAAACCACTTGTTGAGGAAAAAGGACCCCTCAAGACCCGCAGAAGAACTGAATACCTCATCCCTAAACATGACGGAGACATCGATTCCAAACCCCCAGCAAGTCAAAGTATTTTCCAAAATAAGACTAAGTAAAATGGGGACCACTTCATAATTCCTCTAAATACCAGGGTTAGGCAGTATCTGTTAATACAGTCACAGCTCTGATTGGTTACTCCAGCACTCCCATTTCATGTCTGGGAAACTAATTTACTCCATGAAATTGTATTTTAGACTAAACTCAACCTGGAATCTCTTTAAAATTTTAAAAACATTTACTTGGTCATTTCCAAAAATCAATTTCAAGTATCCCAGTGCTCTCATATACCCTGAACCACAAAATTCACTCCTAGAACCTGACCTCAGACCCTGAATTAGGAATCAAGGTTAAAGATGGATGTTCCAGGAACCCTTGACTCACCCTCACTGCCCAGGACCATCAGGCTTGAGACAGTGACGCCAGCCTCAGGGGCTGCACTGTGTCCCCTCCAACCAATAGCGCAGCGTCTTACACGTGAGTCTGTCACGTGGAAAAGTGGCCACACCCTTGGACGTTGTAAAGCATGCCAAGTATCACTCAGTATTTCCCCCCAACTCATTACAAAAGATTTTTCCAAGGGCATCACCCATTTGTGACTAGAATATTCTACTTCATTACCATGATTTTACCCACCACGGAATTCCCGTCACCACCCACCTGCTGTACGGGGTCTTCTCATCTGCCTGGATCCACGTCCATCCCTCCAGCCCCCCGGGACTTGCTGCTCTCCTTTCAGCTTCAGGTTTCTGCTGTTTCTCGTCTGGCAGGACCACACCGCCCCCAACCCGTCCCCACCTAACCTGCCCGGCTGTTTCCCTCGACTGCGTGCGTTCACTGGTTCCCGATTGTGTATTCCCCATTCTGAAAAGCCCTGGACACAGTCCTCTGGCAGAGGGCGGCAGCGCATTTGGAAACCTGAACCAGTGTCCAGTTCCAGAGGGTTAGCATTGAGTCAGCTGCCTGCACCCCACCTCAGGAGTTCATTTTCCTGCCTCTCACCCTGGACAACTCTGTCCTTACAGCAAGTCTACTTCAGTACCTACTTCGAAAACATACTTTTCCCTAAGGGCACCTTCCACAAAGGGGACTTCGCTGTTCTAAGTAAAGCAACATGGACTCAAGAAGAAGAATCAACACTGTCACCAAATAGTGGAGGGACGTGTGAATCAGACCAGAAAGCTGAAGAACACAGCTTCCAGATGTGACTTCAGCATCTTATATACCTGGGAAGTCCAAACAGGGAGGTAAGTACTTGTGTGAAACAAAGTTGGAGGATAATCAATTGCAGCTGAAGCTCCATCTTTCTGCTCCCCTCTCCCGATCGCTTCCTTACACCAACCTCATTTCCGACAGATTTGTGCAAATACAGGCGGGCGCCGGGGAAGCTGAGGGCAGGCTGGTCCCCGGGCCCCATGCGTCCTGGCTGCTGCACCACGGCCTGGCAAACCAATTTTGAAGGCAGACAAACTTGAAGTCAGAAAGGTACAGCGCACTGGAACATTTGGCTTCTTGCTGAGACTCAGAAACACTGCGAGGCTGCCTCCCGAGAGCCGCCCAGCCCCGGCCAGGTCCCCCAGGGCTCCGATCCAGGCGCTGGCTCGCTCCCTCTCCTTACAAAGCTGCCTCCAGATCCCTGACGCACAAAAGGCAGCCTCTGCTCCGCAGCGTCTCGGCTACGGTTCTTTCCTCCATGTCCCTCCTGCACTAGGTCCTGATGAAAACCAAACCTGTGCTCCTGAGGCCCAACCAGCAGACCTGCGGCTGCCCCCGGGGCTCAGCAACGCTGCCCACAGAGAGCAGGGACAGCGGGGGCTTCCAGGTCCCCTCAACAGGCAGGCTCATCCCAGTTCTGTGCTTCTCACCTGCCCACGAGAGAGACAAGTGGCATCCGAAATCCACACGTATCAGTTGTTTATGGTCTTTTTTTATCCCACAATTATTTTGTGTGTTTCCCCCTCTCGGTGGCCTAAGGAGACTGTGGCCCTCAGTATAATTATGCCCTTGGAGCAGGCTGCAGGGCGGCAGAGGCGCTAATACATCACGGTGGGGCCTCCTAATGAGCCCCGTTACTCAGGAGGCAGCGTTCCCGCGCGGAGCGCGTCCCCAGCAGGCACTCGGCTTGGCAGCGCTCCCTGCGACCTGTTTCCTTGACATCCCTGTCCCCAGAGTGGCTGCACAGTTCCTGTTTCTCTACAAAGTGCAACATATTAGAAAAAGCAGAGAATTTAAAATAATTACTGATGTTTGTACAGATTGTATTGTTTACCTCTATCCCTTTCCCCACTCCAAACGCCCCCAGAAAACCCCACTATGAAATAGTTTAACAAATAATTGTCTGTTTTCCATAAAACACTTTAAAAAATAATGATGGTTGTCTTCTCACATAAGCATATGACACCATGCTTTCTTCATCAGATCGATCAAAGTCCTTAAAACCAAAGTAGGGTTTGCATAGATATATTTCATTTTGTGCAAATCTGACTAAGATAAGGCTATTTTCAGTGTTTAGGTAGTGATGTTCTGAGTACAGAAAGCTCTCAAGCAACAAGAACATTTCCCTGCGTTCCAAATTCTCTCCAGCTGCATCTGACTTCCCAGGCAGAGCGCTAGGACCGGTGGACGAGCCCGCACCATAAGGCAACACATGGTGGGCGGAATACAAGTCTTGGAAGTAAAATGCAAAGGGACGTACGATCTGTGCCTGTGATGGAGACAGGAGGCGCTCCATCTTCATTCTTCCCTTTTATAAAACGGAAGCCAGAAGGCAGCAGGCCACTGGAGCAGGCGTGCCTTCTTCACAGGCACTTCCAGACATCACCGAGCCCCAGGATGCGCCTGGTGTGGCCTCAGCTGCAAACTGAGTGACTCAGAGGGATGAGAGAAGGACCAAAACCTCTGAGGAGGGACAGCAGCCAAGACCTGCCAAAGGAGCACCCTGCTTCTGAGACGTACATTCTAGGGACAGGAGGTGGGAAGACCCGGCTGGCGAGAGAGGAGATGCCCAGGAAACCCCCTCCCCACCAATCAAGTATCGTCAGGAAGTCTCCAAGTAGAAAGTTTTGTAAGCAGCTTTGCATTTAACATTCAGTCGAGATACTAAAACCTTAAAAAACAAGAATCTCTTAAAAAAAATAGCTAACAGCAGGAGTCCTCCAGGTCGCCCAGGACCCTGCAGCACAGGATGGAGTGCTCCTGGGCCAAGGCCGCCAGCTCCTTCAGGAACTCGGGGAAGAGGGCGGCGGCCAGCATGGCGTTCCTCACCGGCGGCGGCAGGCTCGGGGGCGCCCCGGCCACCCTGGTTCTGTGTGTCAGGAAGGGCTGAAGCACTCTCGGGGGGCCATCCAGAAAGTTCTTGCCACCTCCTGTCCTGGAGGCGTCCTGAATGGGATCTGAAACCAGAAAGAAGCCAGTCTTGGTGACCCTGTAGAGCCCCTCCCGTCGGCCTCTTAGTGGGGCGTGTGTGCTGCACAGGGGCAGGGAGGATGGAGGGGCTGGTCTCGGGTCCGGCAGCCACACAGCCCGCGGGCTGAGGACACGGCCCCGCCCGCCCTCACCCCGCTCCGTCTGCAGATCTGCCCTGTGGCTCAGCTCCAGCGCAGGGCCTGTGACCTGAGACTTTGATCCCAAGTTCTGTATGAGGAACTTCACGCAGAAACTGTGGCAGGAATATGTTTATCAAGAACCCTCCATGCCTAGGACATGGGGGTCTGGCGGCGAGACGGAAAAAAAGGCATCTCCTGCCGCTGCGTCCACAAGTGAAGACTCAGCTCAGCGTGTTATTTAGGGGTGTCCAGGGCCTCCACCTGCTCCCCAGCTCCCGTTGTCGGGGAGCCCATCCTGCCTTGGCCAGCTAAGCCCTGACTGCCCGGCAGAGCTGCAGAAGGCAGACTGGGCTACACATCTGGCCCGGGCTCCAGCCTCTGGGGCCTCCTGGCCACCCCCAGCTGCTTCTGGCTGGCACCTCCAGCCTTTGTGGAGAACAGAATGGAATTTGCCTCTTAAACGTTGGGGATGATGGACAGGAAGCTGGGTGCCAGTGAGACCAGACCAGGAACTTCTCTTAACCGTGGGCGTCTGGTGGCAGCGAGTGGCTTGGACCTTCCACTTGAGGAAACTTTCCAGGGCTTTCGAGCTCAGTCTCAGGTCTAATGTAAGCCTAAGACCATATGAGCCCAAACTTCAACATGTTCAAGTGATTTGCATTTTCACATCTAAATAGTTCTACCAATTAAAACAGTTTGACTTTCCCAACTGTTTAATTCCTCAGCATCTCTGGCCTTTATATTTATAGGAATTATTTATGCCTTCTGCCCCCAACTCAAACAGACTCATTACTCCTTATAAATCATTATATTCCAGCTCTTCATTACTTTGGCTGCTTTTTAGAATTCAGCCCCGTTTTTTAACACTCCTCTCAGAGTGTCGTTAACTACAGTACTAAAAATTCTTGACATTTATAGTTCTTTCCACATCTCACTAGTATAGTCTTCAATGTTAAAAAAAAAAAGTCCTCCACTTTACTGCTTTAAATATCCTTTTAGATTAGAGCTTATCACAGTTCGTGCCATAATTAACTGGAAACGTGGAGAATCTGCTGCCACCTTTCAGCAGAAACTCACAAGATGTCCTGACAACAGAGTGAGGACAAAAGTGTTGACATCCTCGAGGACACTGCCAGTCTTGAGGACCGTGCCTCAGAACCCCACCCCAGCCCTCCAGCCACTCAGCTCTCCAAAGGGTCCCATGAGGCTCACCAGGGAAGCTGGCCTGGATATGGTGGGGAACGGGACACCATGGGCACAAGCCCCAGACTGAGACGCACACTGCTCACACCGGGTCCCCACCCCCAGCATGCCTTCCCCACGGCTCTGCACACCTAAACCTCACCAGGCTTGAAGGGACCAGTGCAGTAGCTAAGAGCACAGACTCTGCCACTTACTGGCGGAGTGACGACAGGCAATTTGCTCTACCTCTCTGCTTCCATGTCCTCATCTGTCAAAAGCTCACAGTTGTTAGGGATTAAATGAGTCAATAGGTATCACGACACAAGGTGTCAACCATCATATCACCATCAATTCAGCTGCCGCTGACTTCACAAAGCACCTCGACTTCCTGCCCAGGAAGTGGTCCCCTGCTCCAGCCCCCACTCGTTTACTTCCCGACCAGGGCTGCAGTGCCCTTCAGCCTTGCCTTGTGGTTTAGGTTCTTTCTCCTCAGCTAGGCCTTGAGGTTTCTGAGAGCTGAGCCCCTACATGATGTGTCCTTCGTGGCCCCCAGCGCACTTCCTGATTCACAGGGGAGACTAATAAGCACTTGCTGAATGAACAAGGGGAGGAAGCAACCCACGTCAGGTCTTCCCGACACCTGATCTCCCCGGAGCAGGTTCATTTCATCTCCATCTTCCCGTTTCAAATTCGTCTCTTTCCCCCAAGAGGGCTTTTGTGGGTCATTTATCCAGCTTGATCTATGAATTTTTAAAGTGTCATTGCTCAAGCTCATTTACCCAGTTGAGTCCAGGAACTAAAATTGTCCACTAATGAATGAAGGCAGGTGCCACCCAGTGAGGGAGCTGGAGGAGTGGCACGGACACCCCACAGTGGTTCCGTTCCGTCAGCAGGGGGCTGGCCTTCTGTGAGTCGCAAAGCACCACTGAGCTCTAAAAACCAGCAGCCCCAAGCCACAGCCCCCACCTGGCAACCAGCTAACCATGTGACTCAGCTTCCTTTTCTGTAAAATGGGGATAATGCCTTCCCAACCCCCTTCCAGAACCAGAGATCAGTGAAAGGACTCTGAATACTGAAAGTAAATACCACATGGAAAGTACTCGAGAGGAAAACGAAAAGCCTGGCGAGGGGCCGAGCCTCAGAGACCAACAGTGTCAGCAGTGACAGCGTGGCGGGGGGCACAGGAAGTGAGGAGTCTCAGGGACTCTGACCCCTGCCTGAGGCATTAGTGAGGAGGCCTGTCCTGCACCAGGGCTGCCGGGAGGCCGCGGGCGGAGGGCCTGGGCGAGGGAGCAGCCCCAGCTGTGGGCCCCTGAGCTACGCCCAGCGTAAAGGGACCCCACGAGCAGGCACGGTGTCTGCAGGAGAGGAGGGGAGGCGGGGAGGTATGCATCAGTGTCAGAATCGGGAGCCATCTCCCAAAACGCTGCCCTGGGTCCGCAAAGCCGCACAAAGGGTTTTCAAGATGACTGCAAAGACATGAGAGGTCAGGAGAGACATCCGTTCCCCGGTGTTAGATGCGGCACTGCACAGAGACTCTGGGCCCCCAGGACACGGCCTGTGACAGGGCTCTGGTCATTCACTGTCCTGTGTCCCGGTGAGAATGAGGCCGCCAGATTCAACTCATTGAGAGGCGATCACATCCCACACGATGCTTTGGGAGTGAGCTCTGTCCAAGGGGACAGAAACCTTTGATGTTCTGCGAGTTTAGAGAATTTTAAAGTTGAGGGGAGGGAGTCACTTTGCTAACCTGAAAGAAGTGAGGAGGTTAATCTGGAAAACTCCATCAAAGGAAGTCTTCTATCCCGAGAGAAGCTGCCTACAAGTCTGCACCCCTGGGACGTCACAGACCTTAGAAACCATCCACCAGTGCTGCCCAATCTGACAACCTATGTGGTGGGAACAAGGTCCCCAGACACATATCTGGCAGCCACAGTCATCACACAGCCTGAAGCACAGGACAGAGCACACAGTGTGAGCGCCCCCCACCCTCACCCAGATGGTGTGGGTCCAGGGGGCTGGCCAGGGTATGTGTCCTCGGATCCTCAAACCAGGCCCCTGAGCTCTGTGATCCTGGCTGACCACCCTGGGCCTCTAATTTCAGCTTCCTGCTTATGAAAATGAAGCCAACAGGGGCAGGAGGAGGGTATAGCTCAGCGGTAGAGCACATGCTTAGCATGCGTGAGGTCCTGGTTCAATCCCCAGCACCTCCATTAAAAAAATTAAAAATGAATAAATAAAAAAATCCTTTAAAAAAATGAAGCTAATGGCACCTCTCCGGTGCCCACTGCACAATGCCGTGCACAATGCTGTTCGAAAATAAAAATTGGGAAAGCACTTTACAAATTGCAAAATACAAATGAAGACCAAGCCTGGAGTGCAACTTGAAGACACTGCAGAAATGGCCGTAAGTCCCTGCAACTCTTTACATTGAGAGGTGGGGGTTTGCTCTGGGCTCAGCCAACAGAATGCAGAGGAATCGACCTTGTGGGGTTCCAAGCAACAGCTCCAAGAGATTCTGTGTGCTCCTGCAATCCTACAGCCATGAAGCTGACAAGCCAGGACTAACCTGCTGGATGATGAGAAACACAGGCCCTGTCATCCCCATCGCCCTGGCCCGCAGCCACCGACGTGAGGAAGGCCACCCGCTGATGGCAGCCCACGAGCCAATCCCGCCAACATCAGCCTCGTGGCCGGGACCAGCAGGTCACCAGGGCGACCACACAGATTCACAAGCCCAAGTGATGGCTTTGTTTTGAACCCTGGAGTTTCTGTGGTGGTTTATTTTGTACAAATGCTAACTGATGCATATCCTCCCATGGGGTGAGTCTCGGCAGCATGGCCCCCTGCTCAGGAGGGACACAGCCAACAGGCCAGCTGTCCACACTGCTAGGAGAGGCCACATGGGGCCCGCAGGCCACCTTCCCACAGACATGGAGGTGGTCTCCCTCCCTCTTCTCCAGGGTCAATGCTCAAAGCAGCCCCTGCATTTCCCCAGAGACAGAAGGCCCCCGTTTCTTTCAAAGTCTGCCTTGCAGTGCCCTTAGGCCCGTCACGCCCAGAGTCCTACAGCCAGAAAGGGCTCCAGAGATGGAGGGAAAACCCTTCACTTAAGAGCTGAAGAACATGAGGCCCAGAGATGCAAAGTGACCAAGATCAAACAGCTACACAGAGGCAAGGTCAAGCCCTCGAAGCGTCAAAGCTGCCCGAGTGAACTTTCTGCCTCGCGCTCCGCATCGTTTCCGGTCACATGCTTTAGCCCAGGACTGAGAGCCCCGCTCCCTCCACGGCTCACCCGCCACGAAGAAGCCTGACTTGTCCTGGGGGAGAGAAGCAAAAGCCAGGGCGATAGGGGCCATCCCCTGGTCTGCACTTGCCAAGGCCAAAGCCACAGCTCCAAAGACAACTGCCGTCACATCTGTGCAAGCTGACCTTCAGCAAGGCCTGGTGGCTCTGCTCCCCCCACGCCGCCCTCCCCACCAACCGCTCGGCCAGGGCCCTGGAGCAGCTGGAAGGGTGCTCTCCAGAGGCTCAAGGTGCATATAAACTTTACTACTCCCGGTCCAGACGAATGCTTTCTACCTTCTACAGCCCTAAAGCACATTTACTTGAGGCCTGAGAGTCTCTGGAAACATAATAAAGAGAATGGATGTCCTCCTCGGGGTAGGACTGGCCAAAAAATGGCTCAGGGTGTGCACGTAACACTGCTTTCTGGCCCATATGCACTAAGTTATTTCTACTAGCCTGTCAATAACCCCACGTCGCTCCTTCTCACAACTACTCTGAGTTACGAAAACAAATGCCCTGCTAGGCCCTCCAAACGGGGACCAGGCCAGGTGCGGTCAGGGCAGACCTGCCTTTTGGTTTAAGGACACTCAGAAGAGGTACCTCCCTGTTGGGTAAAAATGGAAATCTATTCATTGCTTTTAGGATCCAGGAGCTGGTGCAGCACCTGCGACCCCAAGTCGAGAAGCTGGGGAACCGGAGGAGCGGGTGATGGAGAGACACAGGGGAGGAACCCGGCGGACCTTTGGTCAGTGCCTCGGGGCTCGGGTCGGACACGTCCACGCGGAAGAGCAGGTACTGCTGGGCTTGGATGAGGAGGCCTGGGAAGTCTCTCTCCACGGAAGCAAACTGCTCGATCTTGTTTTTCACAGATGCGAGGACCTGTCAAAACCAGCACTAATGTCGTTAATGCTTCACAACAGAATTCCGCCCGCCGTTACCAACACATCTGCCAGGCACAGCCTCTGCCCCTGCAGGTTCCTCACTGCCGGGGTGTTCTTGGGAGGGCACTCTCGGGACATCAAACTAAACAGAGCTTTGCGGTTTTTCTAGAATCATCAACACCACCCCCAGCGTAACGGGACAGGGAAGGGGAGCAAATGGATTAGAACAGAGGGTTTTTGGACAACAGCAGCGTGACAGGGGCGGGGGGAGGAGGGGAGGAGTCGGCTCAGCCGCATCTCAGGCAGCAGGGGGTACCTGGTAAAGGGAGCGGACGCTGGGCTGGAAGACCATGTTGGTGTTGAGCAGAAAGGAGCGCAGGAGGGGCTGCGGGTAGCTGGCCAGCTGAGTGATGATGCCAATAAGCAGCAAGTTTACGTGCAAGGAGTTGTCCAGCATGTTCTCCAGCTTGGAGAGGACCACACTGATGAACGGGCCTGTGGAAGGACACGAGGCTTCAGGGCTGGCTGGGCGCACGGGACATCTCTCCCCCAAAACCAAGGAGCCACGGGAGCCCCCACTGGCCCACCAGGTGCAAATCAAATACAAAGGCGGCAAATGCGGCCAGGTCTTCTCCTGCCTCCAATCCCGACCACCGCCACAAAAAGAAAGCAGGAACACGTGCATGGGAGCTAGCATTCTGATGCTGGGAGCAGTTTCAATCCTTTGAAAATTATCATAGACCTTGAAAAAAACAGATGACAAATAATTTTTAAAGTCAAAATATACTTTCCACACTATTTCTGTATTTCTTGGGGCTGCCAGTGCTCAAAGACATGCCATTCATCGTCCTGTGATGCTGCGTCCTGTCTTATTAAATAGCAAACACACACCAACTGTGTTTACCAAACAATAGCGCTGTGAACAGGGATTGTCTGTCCCCAATAAGTACCATGAGAAAGATTCTGTCTCATTAATGTCACAACATGGAAGAATCAAAAGAAAAGTGAGGAGTGAACGCAGCATGGCCATAACTTTAGGGTCATGCTTCATTTTCAGGTACAAGGGAGAGAGGAGAGGGGACAGGAGAGAGGGGAAAGGGACTCGGTTTGGGGAGCTATAGTTTGGCGTGTAGTAGCTTCCTTAAGGGAACTCCCTATGACTATAAAAGCAGTTTGTAAAAAAAAAAAAAAAAAAAGAAAGAAAGAAAATTAGGCAAAAAGCAGCTTTGACTAAATTGGGTCACTAGAAGAATAATATGCTTTATGTTTGAGTTCACTGAAGACAGAGAAAATCAAGAAAATAAATCCTGCGTTTAAAAAATTACTTGAAGATGTTTCCCATTTTCACCATAAAAGTGGTCCATTAAGCAAAATCAATGAGAATTTTCTCTTTTCCCCACTGGAGCTATTGATGATGCCACTAAACCATGGCATATTTATAACAAAAGCACATAACCCTTGATGAATAAACATGCCTTATGAAGATTTCACCAACATTAATAAGAGTTTAACAAAGACACATTTCCTCACGAGGTGTAAGAGGATAAATCCTCTACAAGAAACAGTCATAGTTTAAAAAACAAAATAAAACAGATTTCTTCTGTATAGCACAAGGAACTATATTCAATATCTGATAATAACCTTTAATGAAAAATAATAAGAAAATGAATATATGTATATATATATATATATATGCATGACTAGGATATTGTGCTGTACACCAGAAACTAACACATTGTAACTGACTATACTTCAATTAAAAAAAAGAAAGAAAGAAACAGAAACAAGAGGTCTGTGAGGAAAGGGACTAACTAAGCCTCTTACCCAGGCAGGCAAGGAGCAGGGGGTAATAGCAATGTTCCCAGTACAAGGAATGTGGAGGAGGACTCTACCAGGCCTCGAAATAGAAGAGACTCTCGCCTGTATGTTGAGATTAGCCCCCACTTCCCCATCCTTGGGAGGGGGCTGAGCTCCTGAGTCACTTTCCATGACACAGGAGGTCAATGAACTCTTGAGCAGAAAGCCTCTGGGGAGCCCCTGCTTACAGAACAAAAGTGGGAGAGTTTGCCAAACACATCCAGAAACTCTAGATTGGAACCCCACTCTGAAAGCAATTTGATGAGATCCCATCCAGAACCCCAGAAATGTTGCCGGTAGGTAGCTCTTCTTAATTCTAGCCCTCCAGGAAGATCTACAAGGAGAAGGCTGCTGTCCTCACTCAAGCCCGCACCCAGTCTTTTCCCATCCCCTCTCACCACTCCCCCACAGTCCTGTAGGGCTCAGCATTTCTTTCCTTCCAGAAGAGCAAAGACAGGTGAATTAAGTGACACTTGGGAGGGAAGCACCTCCTATAAAACAGATCTCCTTAATATGAGCGCTCAACTTCCCTTCACTATACTTGGCCTCCTCCGGCTATCCTACAAACACGACCGCTGAACCATGCGGTGGCCGCGGAGAGCATCTATGGTCCATCGCTGCTGTGAGTGAGGGAAAAACCCAGCCTGAACCCCGCGCCCTGCGGAGAGGAGGTGTCATAACTGTCTCACCTGAACGACAGGCTAGTAGGTCAAGATCAGCAGACTGTCATTGTAATCCACTAACGACATTAATTACAATTTCTTAGGCATGTGCAATAAGAGACATATATTAAACCTTTACAAGTTCCTATTTTATTTTTAGTTGATTTCTAGCAGTTAAAAAAAAAAAACCTGCTTAGCAAAAAGCAGTTGCTAGGAGAGCCTGGCAAGCAGCTGAAAATGAGAAAACTCAGCTATAGTTCAGAAAGCCATAGTGTGTATGGGAGATGAGATAGCTTTTCCCCCCTTCCTCTAGGAAGACACATAAATTCCCCACCTGTAAAATACTGAATTTTCAGAACGACTAACACTGTGTCCACCACCCCTCCCTGTCGTTGCCTTCTCTCCTCAGTGTAACACCCCCAACCCCGAGTTTCCCAGATGTGGGAGGAGCCGCCACTATGCCCCGCCCTGGCCCCGCCCCTGGCTTGGCCCTGCCCTGGCCCCGCCCCATCGCTTCCACCCTGGAACCGTCTCCCGAAGGCAAACCAGCACCTCTGCCACCACCTCTGCCAACTGTTGGACTTAGAAACAGTTTCTGTTTTAAAGATTAAAATGATTAATTTTTTTTTCTTCCAACAGTACCGGAATTATAAAGAACAGGCCTCCTGCCTGGAGGCAACCCCTGTTAACAGATCCAAGTGTATTCTTCCAGAAATACGTGTATAATAAAACTAATAAACTTCTATGCCTATCATAAACTAATAACTGATTTATCCTTGAAAACATTTATTAATCACGTTATGTGCCAGGCAGTGTTCTACGCACTTTCCATGTACCAGTGAGCTTAAATATTCACAACCTACAAAGTGTGCTTATTATTTACCCCCCTTTAAAGATGACACAGAATGCCCAGTGCACAGGTGGTACATGAAGGTGTCACAATTTTAATTCAGGCCATCTGTTTCCAGCTCCCATATTCTCAACCAATGCACTGTCTTGAATCCTGGGGTGGGTGTGTGTGTGTGTGTGTGTGTGTGCGCGCGCGTGTGTGTGTGTGTGCGCGCGTGTGTGTTGTGCATGTGTCGATCTCCTGGTGTAAAAAAAAAACAACACTATTTTTTAAACAAATGACAAGATGACAACCTTGTCTAAACACCATTCAGCCCCCTGGTTTTCCACTGCACCTTATATCCCAGAGACACCCCACAGCAGCACACACAGAGCTGTGTCACTCATTCACAAGATATTCGGTTGCCATGGGTATTGCATTAGCAAAAGCAGTCCCCTCCTGGTGGACACTTAGGTTACTCCTGGCCATTTTCTATTACAAATAATGGTGCAGTGAACACCTCTGTGTACACATCTTGGCACATCCGTGTGAGCACAGCTGTGAAAATGTTCCCAGGGGCATTATTACTGGCGCATTCTCAATTCGGACACGATGACGTGTCTCTTACTTTGCTCTTCCTGGTGCCAACCTCTCCCCAGTGCTCTCTCCATGCTCTCCAAGCTAGCTTTTTCCTTTCCAAATACAGATCTGGTCACATCATTCACCAACTCTAATACTTTGAAGGCATCTTCAGTGCCGGGAGCACAAGACCACCATTCCTCAGCTTGGCCCGAGGGCCGCCATGAGCTGGCATCAACTAGCTTTGTGGCTTCCTCTCTGCCTCCCATGATCCGTGCCCATCACGTCCAGGAGCTGTCAGGCTCCTTTGTCTTCACTTGTCATTTCCTCCGCCTGGACTGTCATCCTCCGCCACTTTTACCCAGAGGCTTCTGGTCACTCTGTTCCTCCTCTGTGAAGTCTTTCCCACCCCAACCCCTCCCACTGAGCTCCCCAAAAATGCAGATACAATGACTGCTACACATCTCTCACGAAGAGAGTACTGTTCTTTGTTTACGTCTCCTCTGAAAGTCTACAGGTCCCTTCATTTTTGTGTCCTTGGTAACTGGCACAGAACCTGCCAAACATTTGGAGATCAATAAAAGATTGCTGAATCCATGAATAAATACAATTAATTAGATCAATGAAATGGGATGCTTTGACTTTGCTGAGAAGCAGATTCATTTCAGCGGAAATCAGGATGCCATGGAGAGAGGTGAGTTAAGCCAAAGGCTGCAGAACAGATTCAGAAATTCAGAAACTACAAAGCTTGGATACATGGAAGGAGAAAGTACGTTTCCTGAAGCCATATACAAGTTTCAAAGGAGGAAAAAGGAGAGGCTTTAGCTAAAATTACCTATATGTGTCAGAAAACTCAGATTGTTTTGTTCTCAGGTGTATCATTCAAAATATTGATGCTATTGAACAAGCGGTGTATTCACTTTTTTTTTCCCCCTAAGCTATACTTTGTTTCCTCAATTTACATATTTCCCAGGGATGAAGCTCCTTTATAAGCAAGCTGGCATTCTAAAGAACAATCTTCATTAGCGGTGGGTAGCCCTGATGTCCTGGAGAACACTGCAGACAAAGCTGGGACTCCTGCTAGGTGAGAGTAACCCCGGGGGCAGAACTGGGGCTGAGCTGGGTCACTTCTGTCCCCTTCCCTCCCACTAAGCTCTCTGCCCTGCCTTCAGTGCCTCCCTTCCCTCTTCCCATAGCAATTAGGAAAAGCCAGATTATTTGACCCTTTGTACTTATGATTGACTGATTGAATTTATATATATATATATATATATATATATATTTTTTTTTTTTACTTTTGAAGTATAGTCAGTTTATAATGTGTCAATTTCTGGTGTACAGCACAATGCTTCAGTCATACATGGAAATACATATATTCATTTTCATATTCTTTTTCACCGTAAGTTACTATAAGATATTCAATATAGTTCCCTGTACTATATATACAGTATGAACTTGTTGTTTATCTATTATATATAGTAGTTAGTATCTGCAAATCTCGAATTCCCAATTTATCCCTTCCCACCCCCTTTCCCAGCTGGTAACTGTAAGTTTGTTTTCTATGTCTAGGAGTCCATTTCTGTTTTGTTAATAAGTTCATTTGTCTTATTTTTTTAGATTCCACATATAAGTGATATCATACGACTGATTGAAAATTAATTAAAATCCATTTGCACTGAACTGTTATCTCTGCTAGAACCTCAAGCCTTTTCATTGTGGAATTAAAAGCTTTCTCCCTGTTTAAATAAATTTTCAGGCACCAGCAAACAGAGTAATAAATGTTGGAGGAGGGTGGAAGAGCTCCTTGAAATGATGTTACACCTGCCAGCTGACCTGGAAGTGCTATAATTTCATGTATTTTGGGTGACCCCAGGGAGGTAGGGGCGTGGTCTCTCCCCACCAAGCTGCTCCCTGCCGGCCAGGGAAGGACAGGCCTCAGCTGAGGCTGCTGCGGGCTGCCTGTGATAACAGTGATGACACAGCCCCCACCCCACCTGAGCATCACATTTAGTCGTCCCAGGGTTAGGGCACCAAGGCCACATGGCAGGAAGGGCCAGAGCCAGCATTCTTCCACAGGCCAGACCCCAAGACCAGTCTGTCCCTCTGAGATGCCAGCTCCTTCAGGGACCTTTCCTCTAACTGAAAACCATTCAAGGGTCCCACCCCAGATGTCCCTGAGCCTGAGGAACCTCCTCTGTGCCAGGTCCCCGTGTACCATGATTTGCAGGTTCAGATTTTGTGATGGAGCAGGATCCTGTGGGGCCTTCCCAGGAAAAACCCCACCACCACCCACCATGTCCTCCACTTGCCTCTCGTCTGTAGAAAAACTTTAGCTGAAGAATAAATTTAATCAGAGAAACGACAAAATACAAAAGTAAAGGAATACAGTCAAGCAAGACAAAAATAATAAGAGTTTAGCCATTAAACAGAGTCAAGGGCCTTTAGTTCCTCCTCAAGGGCTGTTGATAATATTCTGAGCCATGTCCTTTCAGCTGTTTTACAGAGACTGAAACCCCACCAGGTGGAAGAAGTTAACTGCATGCTGACCAGACTGTAGCCATGACACAATCTCGAGAACTGGCCTCAAAGAGATGGGAACAAACCGACCCTGGAACTGAAGATTAACTGTACTTAAAACAATCAAGATGACCCTGATCAGACCTCCGCATGTCTAATTTTAAGATGATTGTCAGAGCTGACTGTGCTGTTCTGCATGTAGCCCTCCCTCCACCTATGCCCCCTTGACACTCTCCTTTAAAAGCGCTTGCCCTCTGTTCACCCGGGGGGCAGTTGACTTTTGAACATGAGTCCATCTTCGCCCCAGGCTGCCAGCCCCTTGAATAATGCAATCTTTCCTTTCCTACCAATACTTGTCTCTCAAGAACTGGCTTTTCAGTGGCAAGCAACCGAACCTCAGTTCAGTAACAATTTTACTTAGCTAATAATTTAATGAAAATTCTACCATAATTCCTCACACCAATCCATTTACCTGATACCCTCTCCTGTCCCTCTGCCTCTTCCATGATTTCTCCCTGCTGTTAGGGGTATATCATGGGAACACACTCATCCTGTGGTACAGTGATGAGTTTATGTAGGTCCACTCTATTTACTTTTGTATGAAGATTTTGTGATTAACTGAAATGAGCTCCCAGGCAAAGACACTACTAACCCCAATGGCCTCCCTCTGATGTGTGTACACAGCTACACTGATTCAAGGTGTTCTGAGCACCTACTATGTACTCTGTCCACTGTTCAGGTCTAGAAGACAGCCAAGAATAAGCCAACCCCCGTGTCCTCATAAAGCACACATTTCAGTGGCAGAAATTGTAAATTTTTTTTAAATATGCATAAAAACAAATGCTGAGAAAAATATAAATTAGACTAAAGGAAATAAGGCTATTAAATACTGAGACAGCCTTTTCTGTGTGGCTTAATCAGTCCTATGGTTTTATCAAAGACATACCAAGGGAAGTTACTCAGCAGCAAAATTTAACCTCTAATTTGCTAGGGAAAAAAAAAACAACCAAGACAATCATTGCGAGTGAATGAAATTTTTTGAAAAATGAAACCACCCCTCCCTGCTCCTTACAATAGCTTCACCCCTCTGTTAGGTAAAGTGATCATGCTTCTTACCTTTACCTACCTTACTCTTCTGGTACAATACGTACAAGTACTTTCAAAAGCAGAAACCACAAAGCAATTAAGAGTGTCACCTGTAAACGGCGTGCTCTGAGTCCTCGCAGGACGCTGACTGGCAAAGGCAGCTTCATCTCTGGCCCCAAATGGGGACGGCTGGGTCTCTGCGGCAGGAGTCTCAGATATGAAAGCCTCGAAGTCATCCTCCTCCTCCTCTTCCGGCTCCTTCCTCCCTTCCTCCTCTCCCTCCTCCTCTCCTCCTTTGCTCTCCTCTCCCTCCCCATCAGGCTCTTTTGTGAGAGGCAAGGGATCAGGTGTGGAGAAACTCTGCTCCAAAAAGCCCTCGGTGCCAGAATCCAGTTCCTTAATGATCTGGTCATACTGGGCAATGAAGTCTTCACCCTCGGGGTTAGTCACCGTCGGGTGCGCACCCTGCTCAGCCCTGGAGGTGGGGGCTGCTACCTCGGAGTCCGGTTCTAGGGCAACTTCGGGCTCTTTCTCTGGTTCCGGTTCCCTGGACACACTGTGAACCTCGTCCGAATCATCCCTATTCTGTTCCTCCTCTGACTCTGACTCTGACTCTGACTCTGGCTGAGGGCCGGGCAGGGGGCCGTTGTTCACAGGCGGGCTCTGGACTGCGGTCTGGGCTGGGGTTGGGGGTCCCTCAGGGTCCTCCCGTGAGCTCCTGGTGTCCTCCGCGTCCTTCTCGGCACACAGCCTGTACACCATCACGTCATCCTGAAAGTCGGACTCCTCGATGTAGGCGCCTTTGAAGAGCAGGATGGCGTTCTTCTTCATCTCCTGGATATGTCTGGGGGGGTCGACCGGGGCGGGGGGGCCCGAGCTCTCCGCATCCTCGTAGGGCCCCGGGGAGCCCGCATCCGCCCCCGAGGAGATCCCGGTGTCGTAGCTGTCGTCCCACTCCAGCTCCGTGTGGCTCTTCTCCTTTCCGGGAGCCCGCGGGGGCCCCATCTTCCGGGGGCGTGGCTGCGGGAGCCCGAGCGCGGCGTGGGCGGAGCTCGGAGCCCTCTCCTCGGACGGAGCCGGCAGACTCAGGCAAAGCGCCTCGGGGTCGGGGGAGTCCCCGTCGTACAGGGCGGACCACACGTGGCAGTCCCGCATGCAGCGGAGGATGTTGGTGTGGGCCTCCCACAGGTACTGCAGGTAGCTGATGTCCAGGGCTTTGCCGTACTCCACGATGCAGGCCGACGGCGGGAAGGCCTCGGGCAGCGGCTGCTCCGTGGGCCCTGGCCCGGGAGACACACAAGTCAGAACCGGCCCCCTTCTGACGCTCACGAGGAGGGGGGGACCCAGCAGTGGACGGGAATGAGACACACGGGGCTGCCAAGGCTCTGTCCCACCAGCTGCTTTGGTTCTAATAATTTCTGATTAAATGATATCCAAATAATGTTTTTTTAAGTGGTTAGACATTTAGAAGGAAAGTTGAGAACAGAAACTCTACCTTCACAAACATATAGACCCAATCTGGCTGGTCAGATACTGGCTATTGCCAGCAGAAGTCTGTTACTTGGTATCAGTTTTTGATGGGTGAGAGGAGAGGGTGTAGCTCAGTGGCAGCGCACATGCTTAGCATGCACAAGGTCCTGGGTTCAATCCCCAGTGCCTCCATTGAAAGAGAGAGAGAGAGCAATAAAAGCCAACAATGGCAACCTCTCAAGTTGCTGAGAGGATTAACTTATTAGGTAATATATCGAATATGGTACCTGGCACAGAGTAGGTAATAATTAAAAAGAATTTTACTCTCACTCTAAACTGGAAAGCCTATATAATCCATGAATTTGGAGAAGAGATGTGTTTTAGAAAACCCTGGGGTTTTCAAAAAGTTTAACTCATTCCACCTTCCTAGGAACTCCTGAGATGTTGTACATATTGTACCAAATGGTGTCTTACAATAAAGTCATATTCACTACCAAAATAACCCTTTTAACCTAAGAATTATACTGACTACCTTTGATGTAAAAAGTTCTCAACCATGTAACTGAAATAGCTGTGAAAACATCCATATTTAAGTTTACATTTTCCTTTAGAAAAAGAAAAAGGACTCAGACAAGGGAAAATATAAACTATACCATTTCCTGAACATCTACTACCTGACAGGTGCTTTATGAATGTTCCCTAATTTAATCCTCACAACGACAGTATAGGGAGATACTATTTTCTCCATTTACAGTTGAAGAAACTGAGGCTCAGAGACGAAGATCACCCAATGGGTCGGGGGCAGAGCCACAAGTCAAGCAGAAGCTGTCTCATGTCAACCTCTCTCCTTATTTTGTTCGATGCCACACCTTTCAAGCCTTTTGTCCCTTCAGACTCCCTTCAGACTGAACCTTTGAGAATACATATTTTCATGTCACTAGGGTAGACACAATTCATTTTTTACAGCTCTACTGTTAAAAGTCTCTCTCTTATCCACTTTGACTACTGATAATATTTATTTACCACTTACTACAAACCAGGCAATTTTCTAACAGCTTTGTATGTCCTACATCACCCATCCCTGGAACAACTGTTTGAGGAAGGTACTATTTTACAGATGAGGAGAAAAGCTTAGAAAGATCAAATAACTTGCCTAAGGCAGTAGCAGAGCTGAGATTCAGCTCTTAACCACTGCACAATTAAACTGTCTATCTACCCACCTCCTTATCCACATAACCACCATGGGGACATTTATCCACCAGAAAGCAACCTCAGAGGGAGGAGAGCGGGAAGAACATGGGATCTGGAATCAGAGAACCTACTACCAGCTGTAGGTAACCTTGAACCAGTCAGTGCCTCTCTCTGAGCCTATTTCTGTAAATTGAGACTATGGCTATCTTCAAAAGATTAAATGTGATAACACAGAGAAGGGACGTGGCAAGTTGCAGGCACTCAACCATCATATGTTTAACTTGAAATCTGAACTCTTTTTAAAGGTCAGCCATAGAATCATTCTTAAAACAACTTCTTTAGTAAATAAAAAAGATATCAATTTCTTAAATATGTTTTTAAAAGTAATTACTGGGTAGGAAAATATAAGATACCTATACTAGTTCCCCTAACAGGAAAATATATTTAATATATAACTTGTTATACTGCTGTGTAAATTACTAATTTACACGATGCACTGTATCTTTATTTAAAAACCAAGAACCAGTAAGACAACCCTAATTTCCAAAAATTACATTTATGTCACAAATGCTGACATTTTCTTAGTCAAGCAGCCCACTCTTAGACAACATCTGTTATCTAAGAGGACTACAGCTGGGTGGACAAAATGACATTGTTAGGGGGGCTATCAAAATATAGATGGGAAACCTGGAGTCAACACTGGGCCTGGACCATTTCCTAGTGGTCACAGGACAGACAGAATCTTCCTGAACTGAAGCAGCCTCCTGACCACCAAAGACACACAAATGCCTCCTTGCTACAGCTGCCTGTGGAGGGAGGACCAAAGCTGACACAGGTCGCCATTTAAATTTTACTTGTACGAGATCAACTACTACAGCTGGCAAACAACAACCACATGGGCACCATGACTCCTGGCACATCAGAGTAATTATGAAAAGCCCTCACGAGGTCAATCAAATGAATCATATCTTGAGACAGGAGGGAAGAGGGCAGGGCACAACCATTAAAAAAACAACACAGCTATTGAAGATACGACATAAACTGATTAGAACCAACTAGGCCAAGATGGCGGAAGATTCACTTCCAGCAGAACTCGAGCCTCATTATAGGCTCATTGTAATACATTAGCTGCTAAATGACACACGACAGTCACCATGATAGTTCCTGACCGTAAAAGGCCAGGAGGGGGGCAACTCCTGAAAATCTCTGCCCCTTCCCCAAAGTAGTTGGAATAATCCTCCCACTTGCCTATGAAATTACCCAACCCATAAAAACCTCAGAACCCACTCTTGCTTTCCGAGACAACCCCATACCCTGGGGCCATCTCTCTGGCCTTCTGAGACAGCCTACACTCTGTGCATGGAGTGTGCATCCCTCTGAATAAATCTACTTTCACTTTAATATAAAATGTGGTTTTCGCAGGGCTGCTCTCCCTTCTAAGACAGACTGCACTGTCTATGGAGTGTGTATCTCTCTAAATAAACTTGCTTTCACTTTACTGTGGCTCACTCTTGAATTCTCTACTGAGAGAGACAAGAACCTGCTCTAGGGTAACAATACTGTTGCCATATCACAAATTTCACGTTTTAGAATGATATATTATGGGCAGGCAAGCATCCATAAATGGGTAACTTTGGAAATTAAAATAAGGGCGAATTCTATCTGAGCCCTAGCCACCTCCACACCCCCCACCTCATTTTGTCTAAGGAGACAATCAAGTACATGTTTTCGTATCATATTTGGACTTTGAGGAGACCCCTAGAAAGCCTAGTTAAAATAAAGGTCTCACTGACGAGGTGAGAACTGGGCACGTCAATGAACACTGATCGCAAGTGTCTATGACTCTCTACGAAGCAGAAGAGGACCCCCAATTAGTGAGTCATAAAAGAAATGGGACCCCCTGCATCATTCTGCGTCTACCTAGAGAGAGAGAGAGCGCGATGGAACTTGGCACCCTTTCGTTTAAAGATGATCAGTACCAGAGAGGTCCTCCTACCTGGATTATCATGTGTGCACTTTGACCAGAGAATATAATCCCTCTCCTGGTTCCCAAGTGTCAAGGTGATCCCGCTGGAGCAGCAGACGGGGGTCAAGGCAAGCAGCTTGGCCGCAGAAACGGAGTAACAGTCTCTCTCCTTCACGGCCCACCGCTGACTCAGCATCATGTGATTGCAAGGGATCAGATACCTGGAACGACAGAGGGCCGGCGTCGGTGTCTGTGCGGTCTGTTCCCAGCCAGCCACTACCTGAGCCACAGCCAGGACCAGTCACAGCCAGGGTGGCTCATCTTCTCCCCACCTCACTCATGCATCCTGCCAGCCCTGAGGGCTCACTCTTCTGTGAAAACTTGTCAAGGGCTTCTCCCTTCTGTAAGGGCCTTCACACTTCAATCTCCACACGCAGCCCCATCTCTCCAAAGCTCTGCCATCCCTCTGTGCCTCTGAGCCTGTGCACCCAATGCCACCTCCCCCCTGCAGTGTGCCTTCCGCTTCCCTTGCCTGACAAATGCCTGGTCACCCTACAAAGTCTAGCTTCTGTGTCACCTTTTCCAGGAAGGCTTCTAGGCTTCCTACTCCAACACAGAGCTGCTCTCTGCCTCCCACGATGCTCACAGCCCTCTCCTAAGACACTGTTACCAGTATCACAATTATGTCTGTGTCTGCCTTCTCAATATAATGTGCTACCAGAGCCAGCGCCTCCTCCAATAGTTTTGTCTCATAACCTCAGAAATTCTGGCTCAGAGTGGGTACCAAACGACAACAGTGGCAGAAAAAGGCAAAGAACCCATCATAGTGCAAATCTCCTCTTGTATTCTCATGGGTGATCTCTCACCAGTTCCAATGGGGGTGTGTGTAAGTGGTAGGGGGTGGTCCCCACACCACCAAGCAAGGTGTCCTTCTTTCCAACTAAATTCCGACAACATCTACCAGAGAGAGCAGCCCACCCCACACACAGGTCAAGGGTTCAGTCCTACAAGACTGCCCATCCCCAACCCTCAACACACAACACACTTCAGATGCCAATACAAGTCCAAGTTGTCACTTGCGCTCCTGACCAATCGACTATAAATCAGAGGTTCTAACGACCATTGCCTTGGGTTCAATGACTTTGCTAGAGTGGCCTACAGAACTCAGAAACATTTTACTGACTAGATCACTGCTTTATCATAAAAGGATATAACTCAGGAACAACCAGATGGCAAGATGCACCGGGCAAGGTACATGGGACAGGACGCGGAGCGTCCATGCCCTCCATGGGCGCGTCTCCATGTGTCCTCCAGCCCTGAGGCTCTCCAAACCCAGTCTTTGTGGGTTTTTACGGAGGTTTCATTACGGAGTCATGGATGACTGAATCATTGGCCACTGGCGATTCATTCAACCTCTAGCCCGTCTCCCCTCCCCGGATATCAGGGGATGGGTGGAAAAAGAAACAGGGAGAAGACTAAGCGTATAGTTCTTATTACAAATCAGAGTACGATAGTGGCCAAGGACTCACTGGGGAGCGCTGGGCCCCATTTCACACAAAACGCTTTTGGTTGGTGATCAGAGCCTCTTGGTATCAGTATGAAGCTGGAAAGAAGAAAACCCGGGCAACTGTTTCTGACACACTTGGAGCACAACACAGGCTTTGTGGGTAGAACAAAGTGCCTTTAAATAGCTTTCTTTCTTAACAGGGAGAAAGACCATGCTGTTTACTTAAACAAAGATGGAACAAACTGGAAGGTCTCACGGCCAGAGCCAAGTGTCCCATGTCTGTGCAGGAGCCAGTTCCAGAGACCCTGAGCCTGTATGTGAACAACCACAATCTTCAATAAACCAGAATGTTTTTGTTTCTGTGTTTAGGTTTTGAGAAAGAGGCAGTACAAAGGAATACAAGCTATGATTAAGGATTCAGTGAAACAGATAAAAGTACAACTTCCAGGGTATGTTTGGGGCCAGTAAACATTAAGCTCCTGTTCCTCCTGCAGCTCCTGTTCGTCTGAAAGAGGAAAACCTGTTTACATGAATGACTGACAGACTGAGAGTGCCTGAGTCCAGGCAGAGAAGAGATTTCATTTTCTTCATAGCATTTTACACTCAAAGGCCTTAATAACTTTCAAAGGATAAAATGATAAATTTGCACTTAACCTTCGATTTTCAAAAACAAACGAAAAAAATCAAACTGTGCTTCAATCAGCCCAAACCTAACTATGTAGCAGGTAAGGGGTCCTAGTCTCCCCTCCCCACAGACAACACACACATACACACCTGAGCCAAAACTGCTATCACTAAGATCCAGGCACACCCGCAAGTCTTATGTGGTGGCGTCTGTTTTCCTATGTTCAGCTGCGTGAAAGTCAAAGCTTATAAGAAAAAGAAGGAAGGACAGAGGAGGGCAGTCTGGGAAACAGAGCAGTTCTGTTCTAACTCCTGGCCCAGCTTTGGGAACATGGACCTGAGCCCTACGGGAGAAGAAACAGATGCTGGAGGTAGAAAATGAAGGAGCTCTTTTCACAAGGATTTCTGGGGGAAGAGATGTTTTGTTGACCAAGAATGATGCTTCTCCCACCAATCTGAACCCAGCACCGCTCTCGCCTTGAAGACACGAGGAAAAGCAGTGCCTCTCCAACACTGCAGGCCCCATGTGCTCTCAGGAGAGGGGAGGGCTCCAACCCAGGGAGCTCAGCAGATGAGGAGGCCACGGCCGAGGTGCTACAGTAGCCGTGGTGGGGGACAGGGTTGTCTGCCAACGCATGTAAGACCCCTCCCTTGGGACCTCCCCAGAAGTGATGGCTGATGCCAAGGTCTTAGATGAGGGGCAGGGTTGAGAGGCAGGGAAACCTATCCTGTGGGTGTTGACATGAACCCTCCTGTTCTCATAAACTGGTAAGGCCCAAAGAAATTCAGATCGCACAAGATTTATTGTATCCTTATTCTGATTATTAATTATTTAAGAAATAAACTGCTTTGATGCTTTTATATACTGCAGGAACTCAACGACTACTTATAGCCCAACCCAAGCCTATTTCATGATTTAAGCCGATATACATAGATTTCTACTCTTTGTTTGAAGTACTAAAAAAAAAAAAACACTGGATCAAACCTAATAAAGCTATTTATCAAGTATCACCAGTGGGTAGCTTGAAACTGTATTAGAATAAAGAGTTACTGGAAATTTGCAACTTTGCAAATACACGCCTTCAGTAGAAACTAAGAATTTTCTTTGGAGTAAGTCGAATAAAGGGAGATCTCCATAGGTTGAAGGAGGTAGTTCTTTCTATAAAATTGGAAATTGGAGAGTCAGCTCAAATGAATAACACCCTGTATTCGAAGCAGCTCTCCTACTGCTGTGCCTTTATAATGAAGGACTGTCCTGGGGGAGAGCAGGAAAACCATACATGGTCACTCTGTCTTTCCGTCATTTACTGGGAAAGATGAGAAACAGAATAAAATCAGAAGCTCCCCAAGTGTCAAGTATCGAAATGAAGTGGCTGAATAGCAGAAAAATCACTTAGGAATTCAGTATAGATATCTGTCATCAAACTACATTTAAACTACACTTGCTTTGTTTGGGGATATTGTTTAAATTCAGACTGCAGTAAAAAATGATCAGAGACTAGTAAATGACTGATTTGAGAGATCCAGCTTACTCAACACCATCCCGCAATATAGCAGGAAAAAAAAATATTGCCCACATTGTCCGCCCTTTTTTCATGATTTCCCCAACCCTCTGGAACCCTGGATCTGTTTTCTGTTTTCCTGGATATCACTCATTAAAAGAAATCATTATCTCTTTCGAAACAATTCAGTAACAACCAATCAATAACAAGGGACATGTATTGTCTATTGCTACAATGACAATAAAAACAAACAAAGCCGTGAAGTCCGAGGATGTAAACAGAGTGCTTCTTATGAGATGTTATCATCAATGCACCAAAAGGCAAAAATCTCAAAAGCAACCTTAGTGAATTTCAAATGCTTGTTAGTTTCACAAAGACATCCTGGCCATATTTCTCCTATTCGTCTTACCCTAGGCTGATTTTTTTTTTTCCCCTTCTCCTCTAGACACCTAACACCCATGCAAAATGGAAATGTTTCTGAAGTGCTTGCGCAGCTTCTCTTCAAGCAAAGCAGCCTCTATCTGAATACAGCAGGCAATGCAGTTTACAAGCCTGACAAAGGACCGGCCCTTCTGGAAAAAAAACCTCAACCAGAATGTTCAGAAATAGGCATTCAGAGTATTAAGCAATTAAATGTTGCCCAAACTGAGAAGTGCCAAGAACATGGGGGTGATGTGTCCCTTCACTGCTTGTCAGCATTTCCTGCCGGCCTTTGGTCTAACGTGTGTCACATCCCTGAAGGTGGACAACCTCTCCTTGGTTTTCTGCTTGCTTAAATAGCCTCTCTTTTGGGATTCCTTATTTCAACTTACCTTTCTAATATTTTGCTAAAGGAAATAAACAGATCAGTAACAAATGGATTATTGTTTTGCAATGTCAATAATTAAGATATTTGGGTTGCAACAAAAATGGATGCAGGTATTACTTATCATGTAACAAATAACTTCATTAGAAGGATTCATGTAACCTTCATGGCTCTACTGCCTCGCAGATCTACAAGTCTGTCATGTACATTTCAATGGCTACAGTGGTAACAACAAAAAGACAGATTATAAATCTATTTTTTGTGTTCCTTAAAATAAAATTGAAATGACTAGTAAAATAAGGACTTTTCATTGTCTTTGCTTTTGGTACAGATTCTAAAGCAGAAAAAAAACATTGTTTTCATTACAGTAACTCCCTTCTTATCCCTTCTTATCTGTGGGGGATACATTCCAAGACCCCCAGTGATACCTGAAACCGTGGACAGTACCGAACCCTATATATGTTGCATTTTTCTTATACATACAAACCTATGATAAAGCTTAACTTATACATTAGGCTCAGTAAGAGATGAACAATAGCTGGTAATAAGACAGAACAATTCTAATAATAAACTGTAAAAAAAAAGTTCTGTGAATGTAGTTTCTCTCTCTCTCTCAAAATATCTTATTGTAGTGTCCTCATCCTCCTTCTTGTGATGATGGGAGATGATAAAATGCCTACCTGATGAGCTGAAGTGAGGTGAGTGATGTAGGTGTGGTGATGCAGGGTTAGGCTATTCTGATCTTCCAACATACTGTCAGAAGGAGGGCCACCTGCTGAAGGTGAGCCTGGACCACTGAGCCATGACGATGTCACTGTTTGGGGGATGGTGTAAGATTCTACCACCCTACTCAGAACAGTGCGCAATTTAAAACTTATGAATTGTTTATTACTGGAATTTTCCATTTAATATTTTTAGACCACAGTTGACCATGGGAAACATTGGAAAGCAAAACTGTGGGTACAGGGGACTACTACAGTTTAAAATGCATTTTCTAGAAAATTCCCCTCCTTTAAATTTGTATGGTATATTACAGTGTCTCAAGACATTTTCACAGATATTACCACAGTTGATCCTCCAAAAACCCTTGTGAGATACAAATTCCAAAACCAGAACAGGTCAAGAGGCTCTAACTGCATACGTTACATCTTATCATTCCAGTCACCATTGTTCACAGCTTCGTCCTCATATTTTTAAATCTCCTTATTACTTACTGCCGCAAACTTAGTAGTAACTTTCAAATCTGTCTTCTAGTTCATTCATTCTCTCTTAATCTATAGCTTAAATGTTGTTTACCCTACTCATTTTTCATTTTAATAATTACAGTTCTTACTTCTAAAACCCCCAGCTGGTTCTTCAAATCTGCCTGTCATTTTTGCTTGATTATCAAAATGCCATTTTTGTTTTAACAGAAAATAACAACTATTTGGAGGGGCTATGGAGAAACTGGAATCCCGTGCACTATTGGTGGGCACGCAAAATGTGCAGGCTGTTATGGAAAACAAAAAAAAAATTAGATAGAATTACCATATGATCCAGCAATTCCACTTCTGGGTACATACATAAAAGAATTGAGAGCAGGGTCTTGAGGAAAGATATCTGTACACCCCTGTTCACAGCAGCGATATTCACGACAGCCGAAAAGGAAAGCAACGCAAAATGTCCATCAGTAGATAAATGGATAAACAAAATGTGGAATAAACACTGTAAAATTATACAGCCTTAAAAAGGAAGGAAATTCTGACACATGACACAACATGGATGAACCTGGAAGACAATGTGCCAAGTGAAGTAAGTCTGGCACAAAAAGACAAATACTGTATGAGTCTGCTTACATGAGGGACCTAGCCCAGTCAAAGCCAGAAAGACAGAAAGAATTGTGGCTGCCAGGAGCTGAGGGTGGGAGAAATGGGGACCTGTTGTTTAACGGGGACAGAGTGTTTCTTCTAAAAAGAGAAAACAGCTCTGGAGACCGATGGTGGTCGTGGCTGTACAACAATGTGAATGCATTTAATGCCACTGAACCATATGGTTAAGATGGCAGATTTTAGGTTTTGTGTATTTTACTACAATTAAAAATAACTGTTAAATGTGGGGCCGGGGGAGATCAGCAGTTCAGAGGACACAGACCAGGAACAGAGGTTTCCTCTGTGTCTCCCATGTGCCAACTTTTGCGTCTGTCCTCGCACTTGCTTTTCACAGATCCCTCAGGGATGTGCAGTAGGATTAGAAATACAGAAAGTATTAAATAAAGGGTAGCTCCTATTATCACAGTATCATCAGCATTCTCATTAAGGAAACAGAGAAGAAATTCAGGACCAGGTGGCTATGCCCGGCACCCTTTCCACAACTCCACTCAGAACCTGTGACAACGCGCCCTCTGGGCACTTTCCGGGAAATGACTCGTCCTCACTCGCCCTGGGAACGACAAGCCTTGACATGGACATGTGAATATTTCAACCACAAGCTGATTTCTTCACCTTTGTAAGGTACAGGTCTGGGTCTCAAAAGAAGCTTTAATACAACCTCCAAAGACAGTTTGTACACAAGCACAGCTTTAGGAGTGGATGAGGGTGATCAGAGTTCACGTCATACAGGTCACTGAACAGAAGCTTCCACCACCTGGGCTCAGTCTCACCCAGTGACCCAGAGCCGGGATGCTCTGCGTCCCCAAGCAGGGCCGGGCTCCAGGGACACCGAAAAGACAGCTGTTCTCTAGGCCATCAAAGAAGCGGCATTCAAGAATTTCACATTGAGATATAATCAGGATTTACCCTTGTTGGAGGCAAAGTCTGGTTTTTGGCAGTCAAAAAGGCTTTAACAAGTTGCTCAGATGCATTTCCTCCAGGCCCTGCTAACGCATTCTGTCATATCAGTAGAGACTTGAAGGGAAGCTAACGTAATCCTTTTAGGACAGATAAATAACGCTCTCCCCCTACTACCCAGGGTGTTTCTTTATGATCGGATTTGTTCTTTGCTAATGCCCTAAGATTAGCTACTGATGACCTGATCTAAATCCCTAAAATGTCCCAAACCTCTCTTTACACTAAAAAAATTAATGGGCGATACTCTCCCCTGAAACGATAACTCCGTGAGGCCCCCACCCTCGTGCCACCACCACCTCACCCCAACCCCAGCACTGTTATTGCCCCCTTCTGCAGGGCACCATGCACTGCACCCTTCCTCAAAACAGAGGTTCTCAGACTTAGCCACCATCAGAAACCCCCAGAGAGTCTGTTAAAACACGACTTGCTGGACCCCACCCACCCCCAGGGTTTCTGATCAGCACACAGGGGAGAAGGCCAGCAGGTGCATCCCTAACATGCTCCTGGGTGATGCCTCCGCTGCTGTTCCCAGGATCTCACTTGGCCGCCCTCCAACTTTTCCACGGCTACTCCGTGGGAATGCCGTCTCCACAATGATTCTCCTCACATCAGGTCTAGACCCCAGTGGAGACCAGGGACAGCCCAAGTCTCCTCCTCTTGCCCTGCCCTCAGCTCCTCCTGCCCTTCCGCCCAAGAAGGGGTCAGAGGCAGGATCGCAAAGCCCAACAAGGAAAGAGGGGGTGGAGACTCGCGTGCCAAGGACCTGGCTGGCTTTTTCCTTTCTGCTTCCACATCACCAGAGGGGAGTGTGGGCAGACAAACCCTTATCAGCTCTCTCTCCCTTCACAAAAGTAGATGCTTCCCTAGGGGACCCTGAGAAGAGAGGCACTGCTGGGCCAAGGCAGGATTTGATGTCCCTGAGTCTCCTGCCAAACGACCAAACTAACAACGTCTTGATAGCAGTCCATCCTTACTCCGGATACCCGTCTTCAGCCACCAGCCACTCCGTGACACCTTGCCCACCCATACTTGGGAAGAGTGTACCTTTTCCACCTGGTATACATACAAGCCCTTTTCAATCCATCCACTCTGTGCCTTCTTCTCTTCTGAATTGTATACGGAAAGTACTCATTAAATGTTTACTGAGTTCAATTGAAACATTCACAGGTCAGACAGTGCATACTGTAGGTGCACCATCACGCACGCAAGAGGCACAGAAATTACACATCCACGACATTTCACACTTAGGAAAGTTGTTTTCAATAACGAGTTGCCCAAAAATGAGCTTCTGGAGAAAGACACTCAGCTACAGATCACAAGAGCTTTCACAATACTTCTGAAAGTTTCCAAACATTCTATTTAATCCTTCCAGGAGCATATTTTTAATATCATGCATTTGGCCCCCCAAAAAAACTTTTAAAGTAAAACTAAAATTAACCTTGAGAAATAATACAGAAGTGAAACTGACTTCTTGATGATTTTCTTTCTTAGAAGCACTGCCTTACTTAGCTTATGTTACCAAAGAAAAATATAACAACAATATTAATATAGAGTTTTTCTTTAAAAGGAATAAAAGATGGCAACTCACCTTAGAACTAGCTGTAACATCACATCTTCACAATGTAAACCGATGAGAGTTCTAAATAATGCCAGGGACACCACACAAAGCTGGGAAGCAATAAACAAACACATACGATATTTCAGATATTAGAAGGATAGCTCTCCTTCCCACAGAAGGCAAATAAATCAGAATTACAAATAAAATGGCCTTTTTAAAAAAGCAATTTTGATTAAAAAAAAAAACCCACACCGCTGCCAGAGAGAATGTATATATTCAGGCCATCAATTCTACAGGATTTGATTCGACAGCATACGCCTGGAATTATGCCATTACACAGAATTACCCTCCTACAAGACGCCTACGTTCATACTTCCAACTTTCAAAGATCCAAATAAATATGCCACCTACCACTCCCCAACACACACACACAATCCCCTATGTCATTTGTTTTCCTAAGTTGTCTTCAATGTGAAATTGATTATTTGCAGACAGAGCTAACAGAAAACTGCATACACCCTGGCCAGCTCTCTCCAGAGTCCTCAGCCCCAAGCCCCAGCTCCCCTTGGCTTGTCTCTTTGGCTTTGAGGCAAACATTCTCCTTGGTTCCATTTCCTGTAGTGCTGAGGGTGTGACGATGTACTTGTCTAAGAAGGTCATTAAAAATTGCAAGAATTCTTGCAATCTCGGATTTCCAAAAAGGAGAGAGAAACAGCCCAACAGAGAAGGTTCCCAAAAGGGCATTATAAAATCACCATGCCCTTTTGGGAGTAAGCTTTTATCCTTCTAACAAGCCACTCAAGTAATTTAGGCTCTCATCTTTTGTACAGGAGAGTAAGTGCTAGTCTGTCTTCTAGGCAGGGTTTACAGCCTCGTCAGAGAAATCCATGGTGTTGGAGAGAAGAGCTGCACTTGGTGTGCCCCAAAACATCTCTTGTGCACAGGACAGGTCACGCCTTGTAGTGAGGCAGAAGCAACATCCTTCAACCCATTCACTCCACGCCTTTGCACATGCTGTTCCTTTGCCTGGTATGTGTTTCACTGTCTCCTCCACAGGATAACCCCAACTTATTCTCAAAGGCTGACCCTAGGTATCACTTCCCCTAGGAAATCTTTCTTCTCTGTCTCCCAGAATTACCACTCAACATCTCCCTTCCCCAGTCTGAGTCCTTTCTATATGTTGCCATAGTAACCCCAGCAAATCACTATATCTGTCTTCTTATTAGTGAGTCGTAGGAGTTCATTATTCTGCATGCAAGCATCTTATCAGAAACATGACTTGCAAAGATTTCCTCCCATTTTGTGCATTGTCTTTTCAATTTCTTAATGGTGTCCTTTGAAATACAGAAGTTTTTACTTGTTCATAGATTTTTGATTTCTTCTCGAATCAGTTTCAGAAGTTTGTGCCTTTCTAAAATTTGCCTGTTTTATCTAAGTTATCCAATATTTTGGCATACAGTTGTTCATAGTATTCCTTTGTAATCCTTTTTAGTTCTGTAAAGTCATAGTAATATTTTCTCTTTCATTCTGAATTTTAGTAATTTGAGTCTTCTCAATTTTTTTCTTGGTAGTCTTAGCTAAAAGTTTGTCAATGTTGTCAGTCTTTTCCAAGAACCAACTTTTTACTTCTTAGGGTTTTTTTGTTTGTTTATTTATTTTTACTGAATGAAAGTTTTCTTTAAATTCTATAGTGCTTTACAATTTTCACAAGTTTCACACACATGATTTCAAATAATCCCATAATATTCTTTTTTTTCCCCTTACTCTTAATTTGCCCCCTCTACTTCCTGCCCCCTACTGGTAACCACTAGTTCCTTCTCTCCATCTGTGAGTCTGTTTCTTTTCTGTTCTATTAACCAGTTTGTTGTATTTTCTAGATTCCACATATAAGTAATATCATACAGTATTTGTCTTTCTCTGTCTGATTTACTTCATTTAGCATAACATCCTCCAAGTCCATCCACGTTGCTACAAATTGCAAAATTTCATTCTTTTTATGGTTGAGTAGTATTCCATTGTATATATACCACATCTTCTTTATCCAGTCTCCTGTTGATGGACACTTAGGTTCCTTCTATATCTGACAACTGTAAATAGTGCTGCTATAAACACTGGGATGCATTCACCTTTTTGAATTAATGTTTTTTATTTTTGTTTTGTTTCAGATATATACCCCAGAGTGGAACTGCAGGGTTGTACGACAGTTCTATTTCCAGTTTTTTCAGAAACCGCCACACCGTTTTCCACAGTGGCTGCACCAGTTTACATTCTCACCAGCAGCCTAGGAGGGTCAAAAAACCAACTTTCAGTTTTGTTGTTCTTCTCTCAGTTTTGTCAGTTCTGTTGTTTTTCTAGTCTCCATTTCATTAATATCTGCTCTAATCCTTATTAATCCCTTCTTCCTGCTTGGTTTGAGTTTGCTCTTCCTTTTCAAGTGTTTTACAGTGCAAGGTTAGGTTACTGCCCTGAGATCTTGCTTCTTTTTTTCTTTAATTGAAGTAGTCAGTTTACAACGTTGTGTCAGTTTCTGGTGTACAGCATAATATCTCAGTCATACATATACATACATATATTCTTTTCCATTATAGGTTACTATAAGATATTGAATATCTGTACTATACAGTAGAAACTTGTTGTTTATCTATTTTATATATAGTAGTTAGTATCTGCAAATCTCAAACTCCCAATTTATCCTTTCCACTCCCTTTCCCTCCTGGTAATCATAAGTTTATTTTCTATGTCTGTGAGCCTATTTGTTTTGTAAATAAGTTCATTTTTGTCTTTTTTTTTTGAATCCACATATGAGTGATTTCATATGGTATTTTTCTTTCTCTTTCTGGCTTACTTCACTTAGGATGACAATGTCCAGGTCCATCCATGCTGCTGCAAATGGCATTATTTCATTCTTTTTTATGGCTGAGTAGTATTCCATTGGATAAATATACCATATCTTCTTTATCCAGTCATCTGTTGATGGACATTTGGGTTGCTTCCATGTCTTGGCTATTGTAAATAGTGATGCTGGAATATTGGGGTGTATGTATCTTTTTGAATTAGAGTTCCCCTGGATATATACCCAGGACTGGGATTGCTGGATCATATGGTAAGTCTATTTTTAGTTTTTTAAGGAATCTCTATACTGTTTTCCATAATGGCTGCACCAAACTACATTCCCACCAACAGTGTAGGAGGGTTCCCTCCTCTCCACACCCTCTCCAGCATTTATCATTTGTGAACTTTTTAATGATGGCCCTTTCTTCTTTTTTCATGTAGGTGTTTACAGCTGTATATTTTCCTCTAAGCAGTGCTATACTGCATCCAATAAGTTTTGACATGTTTTGTCTTCATTCTCATTTATCTCAAAGTATATTCTCATTTCCCTTGAGACTTCTTCTTTGATCCATTGGTTATTTAGAAGTATTGCTTAATTTCTATGTATCTGTGAATTTTCTTTCTATTAATAAGCATTCATTTCAATCTACTGTGGTCAATAAACACACTTTGAATGATTTCAATCCCTTTAAATTATTCAGGTTTGTTTTATGGCTTATCATACGGTCTGCCTTGGAGAGTGTTTGCTCCATGTGCACTCAAGGAGAATGTGTCTTCTGCTGCTGTTGGGTGGGTGTTTTATAGACCTCTGTTAAATCTAGTTTGTTTATAGTGTTGTTCAAGTCTCCTATTTCTTTGTTCATCTTCTGCCTAGTTGTTCTATCTGTTATGGAAAATAAAGTGTTGAAATAGCCAATAACTATTGCTGTATCTTCTATTTCTTCCTTAAATTCCATCAGTTTTTTGCTTTATAAATTTGGGGGCTCTGTTTTTAGATGCATATATATTCATAATTGCTGTATCTTCCTGATGAGTTAACCTTTATCATTATAAAATGTCCCTCTTTCCCTCTAGTAACAGGTCTTGTTTTAAAGCCTATTTTGTGGCTTATTGGTATAGCCATTCCAGCTTTGTTTTGGTTGCTGTTTGCATAACCTATCTTTTAACATCTTAACATTCCATCTACTGTTATCACTGAATCTAAAGTTTATCTCCAGGTGGCAGCATATAGTTGGACCCTGTATTTTTATCTAGTCTTGTCAGTCTCAGCCTTTTGATTGAATTTTTAATCTATTTACATTTAATATTATCATTATAATTGGATTTATGTCTGTCATTTTACTTTTTGTTTTCTAGATGTCTGATGTCTCTTTTGTTCCCCTGTTCCTATTTTACTGTCTTCTTTTACATTAAATGAATATTTCCCCCACTGTAATGTTTAAATTCCTTTAATGATTTTTTTCACTATATTAATTTTGAGTTATTAGTGGTTGCTCTAGGCCTTACCAGATACATCTTATCAGATTCAACTTCAGATTTATACTAAATTAACTGCAGTGAAAAACAGAAATACTACTCCTAACAGAGCTCTTTTCCTTCTTACCACCCCCTTTGTGCTATTACTGTTATACACATTACATCTAGATATGTTACAAACTCAATAACACTGTTAATTATCCCTTTGTTCTCTTTTTTTTGCATTTTAATGGAGCTTTTTTTCCCCAGTATAGTTGCTTTATAATATTATATTAGTTTCAGGTGTACAATTGAGCATTTAAATATTTTCATAGATTATATACTCCATTTAAAGTTATTATAAAATATTGGCTATGTTCCCTGTGCTGTACAATATTTCCTTGTAGCTTACTTATTTTATACATAGTGGTTTGTACCTCTGACTCTCCTACCCCCAGCTTGCCTCCTCTCTTCCCTGTCCCCACTGGTTAACTACCAGTTTGTTCTCTATATCTGTGAGTCTATTTCTTTTGTCATATTCATTCATTTTATTTTTTAGATTCCAGATATAAGTGATAGATTCCAGATATAAGTGGTAACGTACAGTATTTGTCCTTCTTACTTTCTCTAACTTACTTCACTAAGCATAATACCTTCTAGTTTCATCCATGTTGCTGCAAATGGCTAATATTCCATTGTGTGTTTGTGTGTGTGTGTGTGTGTGTGTGTGTACAGGCAAACACACTTCTTTATCCATTCATCTGTTAATGGACACTTAGGTTGCATCCATATCCTGGCTATTGTAAATACTTCTGCTATGAACATTGCAGCGTATGTATCTTTTCAAATTAGTATTTTCATTTTCTTTAGATATACCTTTGCTTTTAAAACAATAATTGCAATTAAGTTGAGACAGCCTTTGAGGAGGGGATTGCAAAGGATTACACTAATGGTATAAAAGTTAATCAGAGCTTCAAGCTAAAGAATGATTATCTAAATTCACAACTGCCCAGACATGCATTTCAAAACATTTGTGGACAGAAATAAAATCTCTAATACCCAGACTTGATACACTTCAGTTCCTTGGCTTTACCTGCACTTAAGCCCAGCCACCTTGACTCCTCAGAAGCACATTCTGCTGGTTCTACAGAAGAATGTGTCAATCCAGACAAATTGAGAAAAATATCCTGAGAAAGGCAGTAAGTGCCACCTCCCTGATAGAAGAGCTACTGAGAGCGAAACAAATTATCTAGTTCCTCTCTTCCAAAATAGAAAAAGTAACAGCTGAAAGAAATAAAGAGGGGGACAGGAGGAGGAGAGAAAGAGAATATTCATTTTTATTCCCCAAAACAAACTCTCCTGAAACCTGTTCTGAGTTATAAATCCCCTTCCTATGGGGCACTCCTTACCCGAAATGGGGTGTTGATTCTGCTCGTGAGAGTATCTAGGATGTGGACGTTCTCGTGCTGGTGCAACAGGATAAAACGGAGGAAGATCTCAAGTAGAGCTGGCTCAGAGATGCTCCGCAGGAAAAGGTCCAGATATGCAGTTGTGGTCATGACCTCCTCCACAGTCACCTGGGACCAATAACAGTGTGCACAGGTAAGCAGCCTCCCGATGCTGTGATACACGCCTCCCCTCTCCCCTACAGCCCCCGGCCTCACTGCAGTGACTTCATCAAGGTAAGAACATGCCTGTCCCGAGCACACACTTCAGAGCTTCATCTGAAGCCCATAACCTAGTCACATTCCACAATACCTCGTGCTGTTTCCGCCCTTTAAGTCATAAGGGGAAACGCAACGGCATAAAGAGGCAATTCAAGTGCTCCAACAACTCCAATCAGCAGATGCAGTTCGAATACCATAAAGATTTTAGGGTGTGATCATAAAGGGGAAAGAAAAGATAATAGAAAGTATTTCCATGGTCAGCAAAGGATTAATTAGAAAACTCAGTATGACTTGTTTCATTATTAGTCATTCAATAAACCTTTATGGGGACCTGCTACGTACAAGGAGCTAGAAACACTAGAACATATTTTCTGTCCAGGAAGATGGGTTACACATATGATCTAGCAAACAAAATAATAAAATAAGAAATAGCAAATGAGAGATACAGACACAAAGTTGCAGATATTCAGATATGTTTCTGGAAAGTGTCAAGTCAAATTTTTATAACTGAATAATATATGTAAAGTATTATTTATAAAGTGTTTACTGCTTATGAAATAACTGACTTTTTTAATAATACAAATGACCATTTTCTATGTGGTGTGATTTTTCCATGCAGTAAAACATCAATCTTTCAGGAAACAGAACTCTTGAAAAAGTCAAGTTTTTCAAAGAGCTGAGGATTTGATGCTAAAAGCATCAAAATTTTAATTTTTAAACGTTTTATTAGGAACAGTTTAAGAGCTTATATATGTTTCTTTGTCTTCCTAAGAGCAGAATACAGGTCGTCAACTGCCTTACTGACATCAATTGCCTGACTGTCTAATACAGAAAGACTCAAACAGGACTGCATGAAGATCACACGGAAACAGTTCAACATTTCAGATTCCAACCCTGTACGAGAAATCTTAGAATTTCTAAAAATTTCCCCTGCCATGAGTCTCATACACTTGATGCTACACGAAACAGATGGTGATCATTTTTGAGTGATTACATCTTCATCTTTTCTTTTCCAGTTTTCCATCTTCTTTCTTCCTCCCTTTAAAAGTGTTAACTGTCCCTTTATCATACTGTTCCTGGGATGTTCCTTTTAAATTACATTCCTCTTCTTCTCTTCTGCTTTCAAAATCCACAAATCAGTTTAGAAACCAGATCTCCAAACCTGCTACACAAGCATACATAGGCCTTGTGTGGATGTATCTGTGCAAAAAAAAGGCTTAGTTTTATAAATTTCTTGGTTCTTTGGGATGTTCTAGATAGATGATTCCACATAGATAAGATACCACCAAATCAGTTCTGTCTGTTTTCTTTATTCTAAGCAAGGTCTCTACAGCACATCTGAAACCACTCAGAATTACTGACAGGTCACCAGCAGTACCCTGAGCGGCCTGAGCGCTGCCCTTCCCTTGCCAGCTCAGCGCCAATCTCATGAACCCTCAAACTCTCAACACACCCCTGTATCATCTGACCAACTTAAAGGGTTCTCTGTGGCCCAAAAACAGCGAGGGAAACAGGTAAGCATCATCCTCCTGGCAGATTAATCACCCTGAGAAGAGCGCATCTCCTGGGCTGCCCTGCCTCAGAAACAAACCCCTTCTCTCCCTGTGTTTTCCCGTGTTCGCTGGTCCCAGGCTGTCCTAGGACACAAGCTATGTCTCTTTCTGTATCATCCAGGGCAAAGTTCACAACCTGGCACACAGAAGGCACTTAATAAACATTTCCTGAGTAAATGACAGCCCCCAAGGACCTAGCAATCCACACTGGCCAGGGCTGAGCTTAAGTTTTTAATTCCTTTCTCTTCTTTCCATGTGCTCTGAAGGCCCCAGAGAGTGGGAACTTCTTTTTTTTTTAATAAAACGTATAAAATAACTGATTTCACCCAGTATGGCTAAGGGGGAAAGGACTCACACACCACCAAACGTGTAGTTCCATCAGCTCACGCCCATTGCACAACTGCAACGTCAGGGTCCTATAGCAAGCAGAAACTTAGCCCCAAACCATTTAGGCAAAAATCGAATTCCCTAATAATCTTGATCACTAGAAAAAAAAATAGCACTAATCATTCCAAATGGGCCACGCGTGTAGTTTCTGCCATACTGTATTTTCAGCTTACCTACTGAGCATGCTGAGCTTACTGTCATGCGGAATTCCAGAAGCTGCCTCTGCACCAATGACGCAGCATCAGCCCCCCCCCCCCGTTAAGTTATGCGTGACCTTAATAAGCTCAAAAGCACAGCAATAAACTCTTTAGAATAGAAGTCTCAGTCTTTGGGGGCTGGCATGAAAGGAAGGCATTAAGCATCTATTGTTTACTACTCTTAGGCTGGATAAATGAAAAGACTTTTTTTTTAAAAAATCAAAGCTGTCATTTATAAGCTAAGAGGATTTAAGAAAGCACTTGGAAGGGCAGCATTTACATAACGTGCTATAAATATTAAAAACCCAATTCCTATTAAGCGTCAAGTTGCAAAGTCTTCATAAATCGAGGTCACACTCACCTTAAACTAATACCCGGACCAAGAGAACCTAGTTCCCTTCTCTTGCCATCTCTTCCCTCCTCCATATTCTCAGAGCCCTCAGAAGCCTTTTATCCCAGAAAATCTTCTCCCACCCCATTATCTTACTTTTCAGAAACTTCCTGTAATTTCCCAAATAGGCAACCTCCTTAACAAGGATGAGACCAGAGCCTTAGTGTGATCACATGAAAGCTAATGATGAAATGAACCACCAGGGGAAAGCGGCTTGTGCAAAATACAGAACTGAGGCTTCCACTGACGCCCCAGAGAGCATGTACTGGCAACACGGGAGAGTCACCTGCTCTTCATGGCTCAATTATGAAGGACAATCGGCTGCTGATGTAAGTAAGACCTTCTGCCTTATAGCTGAGTATCAGCATTTACAGACCTTGTTCTAAAAGAGTTGCAGGTAGCCACACATCTACACCGAGATTCTAGTAGAAATAGTAAGTGAGGTTCTACCTTACTACCACGTAATACACAATAATAACGTTTAAGGATATTAAAGCCTGGGAAAGGGGCTTCTTCCTAAAGGTAGACCGCAATGGCTGCAACGACTAAGGAAAACTCAGTTCCCACAACCAAGTCATTATCCTTGACAAGGTGAGTTCAACCATGAACCCAAACTGTCTGCTTGGGCACTGTGATGTGCTCGCTTTCAGCCCAGGCCCTAGAAGGGAGCCCTGACTCAGGGACTTACTCTTACCGCTGTCGAGTCCAATTTAGTCTATTCTTCGAAATCTCTTCCTTCGCCCACCTTCTCCACCTCCACCAGCCTTGACCTGAGTTCTCCTCCACGCCTAGTGCCCTTCACCAAGCCCTTAAACTGGTGTTTTTCAAACTATAGTTTGAGACCCAAAAGTAGGTAGTAAAATCAATTTACTGGTTCACTAATGGTTTAGGCCAGATTCAAATAGAAAGTATTCACATATACTGCATGGAGGAAAAGTGAGTACCGTTTTGTGAAACTTTTATATACACATTTTGTTCACACTCTACATAATACAATATATTACACATGCATGTACCGTGTGCTATAGTCACTAAAAAATACGCACATGCAAATGCATAAAATAAATTTCTGGCTGCGCATCACAGTCAAAAACATCTGATGCTGTGCTATCAATTGTAAAAAAAAAAAATCTGAAAAGCACTAAAACAGCACAGCAATAACCACACCAGTTCACACCCCTGCCTGCCACCCCTTCCCACCAGCTCCCCAGACACCAGGCTATCACCCAGCAGGGGCTGAATGTGGCCGAACTGCGTGGATAGTTGAGATCCGTTCTCTGAACAGGATGGAAACTGAATTTCAGGTCAATCTACCCCTTTTTATCTTAGCCTAAGAGCTCCAAGAGTGCATTTTTATTTTTTAAATTAAAATGTCAAGTTTCTCAGAAATGAACAAAATCGAGATTCTGTTTTCTTTCAACAAGGAGGTGACAGGAAGGGAGGAGTGGACACCGTGTGCCACATTCCACTTCTATCAAGTCAAAGCTCCCTCAAAAGTGCAGGCAAGAACCGAGCCCAACCATCATGCCCACAATCACAGCAGCACGTTAACATGATGCGCAGCGTAGGAGTGAAACTGAGCACATAGACATCCTGACATTTCTGTAATCAGCTCTAGTTGGGCAATTCCATTTGCATCTAAACTGGCACCAGAATCCTCCCTGTAATGGCAGGTTTATGGTGTGTCCTGAAAAATACATTTCCCACCTGCTAACTGGTTTTTGTGTGTGTGTGTGTGTGTGTGTGAGAGAGATCCAGTCACACTGGAACAAACAGATGGGTCCTACCATCTGTCGCCCAGGCAGGTGGCAGGAAGTGGGATCAGGTGACTGCTGCACCGTCTCCAAGTTAGAAGCCACCCTTCCTTGGCTTTTCCTTCGGTATAGAGGAGAAAACTAGCCAACCACAGTTCATCTGGGTCCTCTGTGAGCCCTCAGCCCCAGGGGGCTCCAACTGGAGACCAAGAAACCATGCAACCAGCTGTACCCTGCCCACTGAAAGCAGCAGTGGAGAAGGGAAGATGAGGCTGGATCGCATGAAACAGGTATGACGGGGTCTTTCCAGGGAACACAGGCTAAGACACTGCTCGCTGCTGCCAGAGAGAGACAAGATAATGAGCAGGCGGGAGGCGTGTCCACTGGAGGGCAGCCCAGGGCAGCTGCTGGATGGACTCCTCACAACCATCTTCTTCCCTCCAAGGACAGAGTGCAAAGAACATTCAAGTACAGAAGGGAGTGGCCCCACTGTTTCAGCCAAAATTCAGCCAAAATTTCAGCCAAAAATTCAGGACAGAAAACGTTCAATTATTCCAAGTCTGAAAAGAGTCTGAAGTTCATGCTCCCTCCCTCTGGGCCCCCTTCTGCTTCTCGACCTCCAGGCACT